TTTGATGCCGTTTATTTTCAGCTAAAAAGGGTCCAAACTCCGCAAAAAAATTGCGCCATAATTTCAAATAAAACATAATGAAAACATGGATTGCTCGAAATTCCGGCAGAAGTAAAATAAACATCGCACTCAAACAAACAAGTTTTGAGAAAAATGTATTGTCGGAAAATCAGCAGGCTTTTTCAAAAAACTTTTTTCAAATAAGAAGCGGCAATTTTATTCAGTACAATCTCGCAAGTTTTTAATTCTAGACAAAAAATTATATAATTATGCAATTTGTCCGATACTTCACCAACCTTAAACTTTTTTTCGCTTAATTCGATATAATTAGGTTAAAAAATACTCTTTTTTTCATAGCATCTTCCGCAAACTGAGGCAGAGAGACCAATCAATGGGACAAAAACTTGGGTCTAATTTTCGCAAATAACAAATTAGTTTTGGAGAAACTCTATCTTCGTCGTTCTTTCTCAATTAACCGAACCTGAGAAACCCGCGCTTTAAACACAGCTATAGCAAAATTATACATTTAAATATTAGTTTCCAATTTCGTCCGCCATAAATTACGGTCGCCCTCTACCAGAAGTATCACCTATGAGCAAAGGCTTCATGAACTCGCTACTTTTAATACAGATGCGAAGCTGCTCTTCGCAAACACTTGCGAGAACACGACAAAATAGCAGCTCTATAAAGTGAAATAAAAAGTATTAAGAAGTCTGGAATTAGTTTTAAAAATTCTAACCGACGGATTCGAACCTCTTACCTAGAGATTAGAAATATCACTCCCTAACCTCTCAGCCGGGCACATTTAACAATCGGCAAACACTAGCCAAGAAAGCAAGAAACACATGCTTCTGATTATAGCAACAGTGTCACCAAATGAGCACTTTTATTTGCGAGTTAAGTTGGAAAAGAAGAAGGTTCATACTAAAACACTACGCTCGCAAGTGTAATAAATCAAAACATCAACACAGAGACGAAGTTGAACTTCGCATACACAAGCAAAAACATGACCGATAACATTACGACACTTTAGCAGTAACAGTCAATTTGAAAAAGAAAAAAATTACCAAATTTACATGTCTCAATTTATAGAGCGGACTCATTTTAGCTAGTAAACGAAAAATTTATCGGAGTTAGTTTTTTTCTCAACAATCAAGCAAAAAAATTTTTAAAAAAAAATAAGCGATGAAATCATTCAAAATTATTTAATGGTTTAAGTTTTTCCAAGCAAGCTATTCAAGCTACGAAAGTTAGAAAAATTTTTAATTATATCATAGACTGATGAACTGCTTCAGAAAAAATTAAATTTTTTTAAGCAAGCTTTTCAAGTTATTTGATTGAGCAAATCGGTTGGTAAAAAAAAGTTTTTCCATTGATGTCATTCAGGCGGTGAAGTAATTCAAAGTTACTAGCGTGTAACGCACATCCGGTGCTTCGAATTTTCAACAACTCAAAAACTATTCTTTGAGTGTACTCTGACAGCACTCAATTACAGGGTTCTGAATTACAAATTTTGAAAAGTTTTTCATTCAAGTTTTTTATACACATTTTTAAGAACCATAAAATTTTGTGAAGTTTTATATAAGTTCTTCGAAAAATTTAAAATGAACTAAGAAACGTCACAACTGGGAAACTGAAAGCAATTGAGCAGTCGCATTTGGACGCAAGATTGGCAACTCCTGAGAGTACTCTTACAGTACCCAACTACGTTGGGAAATTCAAATTTTGAGAAACTTCACCTTAAATTTTTGTAAAAAAAGGTATTCACATCTCGAAAACTACCAAAATTTGAGCAGTCTTTTTTAATGGCAATATTTGCAATCTTTCAAAGTGCACAACTACAGGGTTCGGAATTTCACTTTAACTAATTAATTTGTAATTTGAGCTTTCTGAAAATTTCCAAGAAAAAATCACAAAAATCGTCGTATCTCTTAACCAAAAAATGATTTGGGCATTCTTAATTGGAGGCCAAATTTGCATCCCCGAAGATTACTCTGAAAGTCCCCCAACTACAGGTTAAGAAATTCAAACTTTGAAAAAAAAATTTAATTAATTTTCATGAAATTTTTTTTGAAAAAATCACAAAACAACTTCATACCTGGAAAACTACAAGGAATTGAGCAGTCAAACAGGGAGGCAAAACTTGCAACTCCTGAGAGTATCCTGACAGAGCCTCACTACAGAGATGAAAATTTCAAGTTTTGTGAAATTTTTTATACCTAAGTTTTCTGAAAAACTTTGAAAAAAAACCTAAAAACGTCATATCTCGAAAACTACCAGAATTTGAGCAGCCATATTCAGAGGCAAGATTAGCAACCCCTGAGAGTACCCTCACAGATTCCAATAACAGGATTGAGATCTTCAAACTTTTGAAATTTTTTAAAATTTAAGTTTTTTTGAAAATTTCGGAGAAAATCATAAAAAAACGTCATATCTCGAAAACTACAAGGACTTGAGCAAACATATTTGGCGGCAAAATTCGCAACTCCTGAGAGTACCCTGACAGAGTCTCCTTACTGAGATAGTAATTTCAAGTTTTGTGAAATATTTTGTATCTAAATTTTCTGAAAAATTTTGAAAAAAAATCCAAAAAAACGTCATATCTCGAAAACTACAAAGATTTGAGCAGCCATAATCAGAGGCAAGATTCGCAACCCTTAAGAGTACCCTCACAATATCCAACAACAGGATTGAGATATCAATTTTTTTTGGAAATTTTTAAAATCTAAATTTTTGAAGAAAAAAAATCATAAAAAACGTCATATCTCGAAAACTACAAGGATTTGAGAAGTGAGAATTGGAGGCAAGATTCGCAACCCCTGAGAGTAGTCTGACAGCACCCAACTACAGGGTGAGAATTTCAAAAATTTAGAAATTTGTCTATATTAATTTTTCTAGAAACTTTTGAAAAATCTCGAAAATTGCCTATCTCGTAAACTAAAAGGATTTGGTTATTCATATATGGAGGCCAGAATCGCAAAACCTGTGAAAACTCTGACATTATCCTGCTATTTGGTTGCTTATTTCAAACTTGACGAAATAAACATTGAATTTAAACTGGAAAATTGAAGGAAAAAAATCTTAACCATTGCAATATACGATATAGCTTAAACGTGAAAAAATTCTTTTGTTAAACATGCAAAATTAATACGTTGAAGAAGATCAAACATGGCGAGATAGTGAATCCCGTATTTAAATATATTATAGATACTAGATGAAAATTAAAATGTTAGGCGACGGGTAGACAGACAATCAAATTAATTTAAAAAGCAGGTATACAGACAGACTTAATATGACTTCGAAAAAAAAATACTGAGAAATTAATGACCTTGCGAAAAACTAATAGAAAAAATTTCTTAAGCATTGCAATATATGATAGAGCTTAAAAATCAAAAAATTCTTTCGTTAAACATGCAAAATTATTATGCTTAAACATGGGAGATAGCTGTCACTCGCGGTTAAAAATAGTATAGATAGATAGAGCTTGAAAAAATTCTTTCGTTAAACATGCAAAATTATTATGCTTAAACATGGGAGATAGCTGTCACTCACATTTAAATATAGTATAGATATAGATAGATAGATATAGATAGATAGATAGATATAGATAGATAGATAGATTTAGGATGTGTAATTTGATATCTGATTTTATGTACCAGGCGACAATTGGCTTTACAGCTAGCAGATAATAGAAAATTTCATAAGTACTTGCCTTAAAATTGAGATTTAATTGCTAATGCTAGCTGGCATTTCCAATTAGAAAAATAACTGCATATAGAATTTGAACAAGTAAAAATTGAAAACTGCAATAAAAAATGCGAGCTTCATGTTCCTGAAACAATTATGAAAATCACCAACAATTTTGCAATTTATGTTACTGTCATTTGGCAAAATTTTTCTCGCAACCATGAGCGTTGGAAATTTTTGACTACAAAAATTTTTTCGCATAGAGTGTGTATTTGTCACAGAGAATCAGATTCAAAAGTAAACGCCAATTATGACGCATTCGCAGTACCAGTCAATTTGAAAAAAAATATATTACCAACTACAATGCCTCAATTTATAAAGCTGACGCATTTTAACTAGTATACGAAAAAAGTTCATTAAAAACATCCGACCCTGCCCAGGTTCGAACCCTCTTATTTTGTTGCGGGTCTCCTCCCTACCTCTACGCTACAAATCCATGGTAACGTGAAGCTTAAGTGCTATTTGTAGTACAAAACTGCTAGTATCAGGGCGAAGCCCTGAGAATTCTGACTGCCTTTAAGGTTCTATGGAGCAGTATTAACATGAAAAAATAAATGTTGATTAAAACAAAATGATTTTTTTTATTTGAAATTTTTGTGAAAATCATCACCCCACACGCCATATAAAGTACAAAGTGATAAATTTCACTCATAGTAACACATCAATTATGGCAAATAAGCTTCCTTCAACCAATTTGGAACGATTTCTAAGAGGGATCAAATCTCCGCTTACGCGTTAGTAGCGCGAAATATATCGCGCATTAATTTTCCCAAATTGACCAAAATGGCAATTTTTAAACCTCAATAACTTTATGAAAAATGATCACAGGTGAAATATCTTTCCAAATTTAAGCTCAGGACAACAATACTTTTTGAATGAAAAAAAAAAAACTGCGTCAAAAATGGCTATTCAAAAAGTCGAAATTTGTCTGAAGAAAACCACCCCGAGCACAATTATTCCGTTACGAAATTCGGAACAATAATAGTCGGCGTTAGTATCCTTAGCATTGGCTGTAACTAATAAATGGTTATTGATCAAACTGAACACTTTCCAAATGAAATAATTTCATCGCAACAATATTAGTGTCGCAACAATATTTGCAACTTAGGTTGGAAAAAAAGATAGTTCATACTATAACGCAAGCTATGCTTGTGTAAATTACGAAAATTGCGAAGCCTGATTTTAGATTAACCCAAAATAAATGTTGCTCATATTCGATATCTTAAAAGTCTTCAGTAAGTTGGAACATCAACCTGTTTTCCGCAGATGGTGAAAAATCTCAACATGACCACCAGGGTTCCCAGCTCCCAGAATTGCTCAGAATTGACAGCGAACAACACATTCCACAGAAGACCCAAAAAGGTCACGAAGAGGTCGTATCTGTTCCTGAAGCTCTGCCAGTAGCCACGAAAGGACACAGCAACACATTTCATTATGGCCTGAAACCCACCAGGGTCTAATTACTCTTAAACACAGAGGCGAGGCGGATCTTCGCATCACTTGCTTTAGATACACCGGAGTCGTTTACACAATTTCAAAAATTTTATTAAACTGAAGTAGTCCAAATGTTAATATCGTGGGTACTGCAATCAAATCAAGCGTTGATAATCTCGAATTTTGTGTTGATTTAAAAAAAAACGAGTTTTTTTAAACATTGAAGCAAAAAAAGCATCATAAGGAACTTTTGGATAGCCGAGCTTTCCAGCGAAATTCAATGCGAATTATTTACGAATTATAACATCAAAATCGATTTGCAATTTTATATCAATTTTTAAGACAAAGCCAGCTAACAATCTGTGCTCAGAATTACATAGAATTTTCCAGAGGACTACGAAATGACTTGTGGTACTTATTACTAAGTAGTAATTAAGCCAATATAATTTAGGTCGACGCCTATAAAGACGGGAAAAAGGCATTTTAGTCCCACAATTTTCTGAAACAAAACTGAGAACTTAAAATATTGAACCCACCTCTATGCATTCAGAATGCGTGCAGTATTTATACATTTACGACAGCTTGGAAAGAAATGACCCCGAGAAGTTAGTTTGTTTGACACGTTTTTACAGTAAAAAAGTCAAGTACCGGAGATGAAGAATCACAAGCGTAAAAAACTAAAACTCAGAAACTTTCAAATCTTGCAGCCTTTCGAAGCTCTTATCTAGATAGCTTATTGCCTCTGAAAGTCTGCTTTTATGATCCGATCTAAAAATATGCAGTAAATTTGAAAGTCTGCTTTTATGATCCGATCTAAAAATATGCAGTAAATTTGTTTTTCAACCTGCCCTTTTAAAACGGTTACTTACTTCGCCCGCGAAGAGAACATTGAACAGCGCCGACAAAATAGCTAGGTTGATAGCTGCCTCATTCTTGCTTTCCCACTAAAACATAATTAAGAATGATAATATGTTGCTTAAACGCTTGGTTGATGGACAGACTGTCAAAACATCAGACATGGTCGAATGAGGTATTAATTCAAAGCCTTTTCGGTCGTGAGTCTAGCAGCATCGAAAAAATTCCTATGAATTTTCCCGGTGTCGAGAGAATTTGGTTGGAAGTTTTAGACTAATACAGGCCTGATACAAGGGAGAAGCTAGTCACACGCAACTTAGGGCTAGTCAATTATTCTTTGACGTCAAATTATTTGACCTTACTGAGTCAAGCTAAGTAAGGTACATATACACTCTCCAAATCAACCATTTATTTTTTGAAAGTTTAAAATTTTTTTTATTCAAAAATATATAGATTAACACAGAAGCAAAGCTGCGATTCGCAAAAACAAGCAATGAAAATGCAAAAAAGAGCTCTAAACAGGCTAAACAAAGAGAAAAAATAAAAAAACGATTGAAAATACACGTCAAAAAAAAGTTCACACATGTGCTCCAGGACCACTAGTGTAATTTTACTAACACTAGCCACCAATAAAGCAGCTACAGGTTCTATCAAATTGTCAATGCAACGCAGCAAAAATTCTACCAAAAAAAAATAAAAACTGTTTTAATGTTCCGGATTTGAATCTCCGACCTGTTGATTAGGAGTCTCGCGCACTCGCATCTGCGCTACGGTCGCTTGGAAGTAAACTAAACGGCGCAGTTAATACTGGACCTACCTGTTTTAATATTTGCAATCGAAAATGTACTGCTACGAAAATGCATTAAAAAAATGGACTTAACGCTAAACCCCTAAACCCTTTTCTCTGCTTAAGTTTGGGATTTAAAAAAAGATTCCAAAATCGATCAAAAATTTGACTTCTCCTAAATCTATGAATTTTTCTCTTCTAAAGCACGAGAATCTGCTTTCCACGCCCTGATTTTATAATTGAACATTTCCGCACCCTGATTTTATAATTGAACATTTCTACACCCTAATTTTTAGATTGAACCCTTAATATCAGATTATGATAGTAGTTTTCGAGAAGAGTGACGAAATTTCTATCAAAAAAGTAAAAAACTGAAAAACGAATTTTTCCGAAATCCATATCAAGTTTTCTAAAAAAAAACAGTGAGTTGAAAAAAAATTGCGCATGGAATATCTAAGCATCAGTTAGTTTGAATGAACTATCAAACTCAGATTCAGCATGTAGGTTTTTGAAGAAAAAAAAGAATAACTTTCCAAAAAACGGGGGTAAAAGTGCAAAAAAATGGACATTTTCTAAGGCCATATCTTTTTCGAAACGCAGGGCATAGCCGCTTGCGCAGATAACTGATTTTGTTTTCGGTTAAAACCTTAACCTCCAATTTGGCAGGGTAGTTTTCTATCAAAGTCAAAAGTTTAACACAGGCAAAGTTGCACTTCGCATGCACAAGCAAAAACATGATGGATAACGCTACTGGGAAAAACTGAATGAGTAAAACTTTGAGTCTTCAAAAATTCTTAAGTGACGCACGCCAATTATGACGCATGAGCAATATCAGTCAATTAAAAAAAATCAACCAACATGCCTTAATTTATAGAGCAGTCTATCGAGCAGTAAAAACATGAAAAAATTAAATGTAATGAAAAAAATTGAATTGTTTTTTAATTTGAGTTTTTTTTGTGAAAATAATCCCCCCACACGCCATATTAAATACAAAGTGATAAATTTCGCTTCTAGTAACAAATCAGTTATGGCAATTAAGCTTCCTTCAAACAATTCGGAACGATTTCTTTGACGAATTAAATCTCCGCCTACGCGTTAATAGAGCGAAATATATCGCGCGTTAATTCGCCCCAAAATGGCAATTTGTAAACTCCCATAACATAACGAAAAAGGATTACAGGAGAAATATCTTTGCCAATTAAAGCACAGGACAACAAAACTTTTTGAATGATAAAATAATCCCCCAAAAATGGCTAGTTAAAAAGTCGAAATCTGTCTGAAGAAAAAAAACCACCCGAGCACAAATATTCCAATACTTTCGTTACGAAAGACGGAACAATAACAGTCTGTGTTAAAATCCTAGCATTGGCTGTATTTAATTGCTAGTTATTGATCAAAATGAACACTTTCAAAATGAACAGAGACTAAAATGTCAAGAGACAAGCAAATTTTGCAGCCACATATAAGAGAAGCCGGTTTCTCTATTGGTCACATTTTTTTTGAAACAATCGGTACAGTAGTTATTGAGAAAAAATGAAATAGAAAACGAAAAATCCCATACATTTTCATAATACATGTTTTTTTTTCAAACAAGACTTGAACCTAGCCAAAAATAAAGCAGCAACATATGCCATTAAATTGTTTCTGCTTAAATAATCTTAAATATGATAAAATTGAAATATATCAAAAGTGCCATCAAATGAGCACTTTTACTTAGCTTACAAAAAACTCTTCGTAAAAATACACTACGCTTCGCTTCTGTTAAAAATTCTTGGTAAAAATACACTACGCTTGTGTAAAGAATTCTTTGTAATAATACATACTGCTTTGCTTGAGGAGGCAGCAAAAAAATTAACTTAAGTGTCATTTTTTAGGGACCTTTTACTGGAAAAAAGTACGATTTGAATAAACTTATTTCGTTCATTGACTCTTAATTACTCAATACTCAAGAAAGAAGAGTCTCTACAGATATCCATGATTATCAAAAATTTAATTAGAAATCTTTAATCGCAAACCAGATATAACCAATAGTATTGAGAATGCACCTGAAGAGTGGTTTGTTCAGAAGTTCAAAGCAAGCTCGAAAAGTTACGACCCATGAGGAGATTTGAGAGAAAGTCGCGAATTAAAGAATCAGTGCTTTGGGTCTGTTAGTTCGTCGGTACTTCCGTAAAATCAATTTTACATGATTTGGAGGACAACAGTTAACATACCTTAACGCCGAGTAGGGCGCTCTGTGCGACAGCTAAGAAGGCTATGAGCCTCTTTGCTCTCTTGCTCATGATCTGGTCATAGACGTACTGTCTGAACGAGTATCTGTCGCCTGGCCTCGGAGGCAGATGCAGTGGCTGCACTAGCGACAATCTCCTCTTCAAGTCCTCCCACCTTCTCTGGTCTACAGTAAGAAGGGCTCTCCCGTTGTTCTCCTGGAAGTTGGCGATGATGACGCCAACAAACAGAGTCACTCCGATCAGGCAACCGATGAACACAAACACGTGAACAAACAGCCCATTCACCTACAAAGTTAGCCAGTTTTCTCTCTAAATAATTTCTTTTAAATTTGATCTTCTAAATCTAAATCCTGGGCAAAAAATAGGTTAAAGATGCCATGGACCGAACTAGTGCAATTAATAAGCATGATAGCGATAGATTAAACCTAAACTATCTGATATTAGATGTGCATCGTAGCAACAGATTCGATAACTCCCATTGCACCCCGTCTGTCTCTATTTTAGTTAAGTGAAGAAGGGGATCTTGACTGGACTCACATCGCCGGTCTGTTTCATGATGACGTCTCTGATCTCGTACCAGCTCTTGAGTGTTAGTACTTCGAACAGGCACAGCATGGCGGAGAAGATGTTGTCAAAGTTAAAGTTGCGCGGGTTATCCCTGAACAGGTCAGCTGTGAGACTCACTGTTAGCATGAGGAGACTGTAATTACTGTTAGTGAGTAGATAAATAAGCACTGGAAAGAGACCAGTTAGCCAGCAGAAAATACACATTAATATGAAACGCATTACACGCACACAAACCTTTCTTAAGATTCCAAACATTTTTTCAGCAAGAATCCGTAAAAAAATATAATTCCGATTCAAATATTCGGCTATTATTACAATTTTGTTTTCAAGTGGTTTGGAGGAAATGATCAAATCGAGCATGCATATTAAAAATTGGCTGAATCCGAAACGTGACAACATTGAACGATAAAAGACAATCTTAATATTACACAAAACAAACAGTTTCGGGATGATATATAGATTCATCAATAGCTAACTTAACGAAATTATCAAGTACTCGTCAGGAGTCAACAATTAAGGCCAGACACAATGAAACGTCCTAATTGAGAGCTTAAAAGTTAGTGAAAAGTGAAGCAACGCTTTAAGACAGATGCTACGTGATAAGTGAGCGTCCATGATAATTAAGCCACCAAACCACATATCATGGCTATGATTGATGGCCACTACTTACGGGTATGGGAACTGTACTCTCAAAGTCAATGAGATACTCGGCTATTTCTTTGTAGCCCTCCAGCGACAAACACTCGAACAGAGTGAGCATGGCTTGGAATATGTTATCGAAGCCGAAGGTGCGTGGCTTGCTCCTACACACACATAACACCAATGCATTCACTACTACTAACTAACTACTAACATAGCTCAAGCTGACCGAGCTCAGACACATGTACATTCACAATCAGGAGTATCTAATTTCGGTCAAACCCAAATGCCAAAATCAGCCGGAAAAAAGAAAACCGTTCCCAGACATGTTTAGTGAAAAATTTAATGATGAGCCGTAAAGTCCAAAAAAAAATTGCTCCGTACACCCGCACCCGATATGTCTGGGTAAGTTTACCCAAAAAAATTTTTTTATAGACAAAACGGCAAAAATTAGCCCCGAAAGAAAAAAAGATAGCCAACAGAATTGGAATAGACTTGAACTGGAAAACTCCAAAAAAATTATGACCTTAAAACTCTTTGAACTTTAAGAACAATTTATGATTGTCTTTTTTCTGACAACATAAAAATCAATTCGATGAAACTGGATTAACAAATAAACTTTTTTATTTTGCGGTAAAATCTGAAAAATTATATCCACTTTCGAAACTAGAAGTCGATCACGTTTATCGTGACCATGAGAATTTTGCTGATTGATAGTGAAGTTTGCCTTTGATAGCAGGGTTTACACAGAGGAAAAGCTCTCCGCTTCGCAAACACTAGCGAGAAAAGGACAAAAAAGCAGCTCTATAAAGTGAAATGAAACAAAAGGTAAAAATGAGGATCTGAACCGCAAACTACAACTAAGGTATATTCGACAGTCATAATAGAATAAGCATATTGCACAACAGTTTTTTTTTAAAAAAAACAATCACTAGAAAAACAAAATATTGTTACAAAATTCAAAAACAAATGTTGAAAATTTTTCTAACTTTTTCGTTGAATTTGTTTGATATTTTGAAGTTTTGGATTACCAAAATTTCGCTCAAAAATCAAAAAAGTAACCGTACTCGATTGAAAATAAGTTTTCGCGGCTTAAATCAAGCATAAGACAGAGGCGAAATTGCAAAATATGACCGATAAAGTAAAAATATGACCCATAACGATACTGGGAAAAACTGAGTGAGTAAAACTTTAAGTCTGCATACTTTCTTAAGTGACGCACGCCAATTATGAATCTATATAAATGCTTAGTGATGCCAGCCAATTATGACGCATAGCAGTACTAGTCAATTCGAACCCTCTTATTTTGTTAGTTCTCCTTCCCTACCTCTACGCTACAGATTCATGATACCTTGAATCTGAAGAGCTATTTGTAGTATAATAGTCTGTGTTAATATCCTTAGCATTGGCTGTTCTTAATAGCTGGTTATTGATCTCATGTACATACTGCAATAAAAGAACACTTTCAAAATGAACTCTAATATTTGCGACTTAGGTTTAAAAAAAAGAGAGTTCATACTATCACACAAGCTTTGCTTGTGTAAATAAGCTTCTATAAGACTGCTCGCTCACATTTATTCGTTTGAAACTAGAAAATAAAAATCGGTTTTTCTCGACACAGAAAAAAAATTGAAACTTTTAAATGTCGATCGAATCACCACTAAAAGAGCTTTAATATGATATATCACTCAACCCTGTCCGATGACTTTTTGTGGTACCTGATTTTGTGTGGAAAAACAATGAAAAAAATAGAACACACCCGGATAAAAAATTCCTCCCCATTTTCAAAGGTCGGAACAATCAATTCCAAAGCGATGCAGCAAAAGCGGCACCAAATATAAATTAACACAAATTCGCTGGTAACAATTTAGAATATAACAAACTGGGCATCCACACTTTGCATGACTTCAATTCGAAAAATTAAAACCAAATTATGCATATAAACTAAGCATTTCAGAAATATTGCGAGACATTAGCTGAAAAATTTCTGAAAACGAGTTTTTATTTTTGTAATGTTGTTTGAAATTTCGCATTATTCGGTTCAGTTACCGAACGAAAAACGCATCAACTGGTTTAACTTATTACTAATCGAATGTCAAAGTACACATGCTATCAAAAAGCCAAGTGGAACCAAAAATGGCATTAATATTTGCGACTTAGGCTGGAAAAAAGAACAGTCGTACTAATATACTACGTTGGCTAGTGTAAACGAAAGAAATGAACAGAACTTTAAAAGAAGTCAACTTCAGAAGAAATCCTGAAAAAATCATCATTCCGTCCTATATAAGAGACTACACTACGTTCATCGAATCTTAAAAAAAACTAATTAAAATTCTGATTTGTGCCGGAATCAAAACCCCGACCCCGAGATTAAGAATCTCATCTCATAGCATCTCCGCAATGGTCGCTTGATAAGAAGACTAGCATCGAAGACTAGCCACCAAAAAACCAGACACAAAGATATAGTGTTTAATGCAACGACGTAAGCCCGAAAAAAAGCTAAGGCAGCATAAGTAAACGAGATATAATGGCATATTGCCGCAAAAGTACCACCAGACAAATGAGCTTTTATTTGCGACTTGGGTTACAAAAAAGTTGTTGTCGTAATATGACACTACGCTCTGCTAGTGCATTGATTCTTTTTATAACTGATCTTGGTTTGCAATAAACACTGAATCAATCCAACATACTTTGAGCATTTATTTATTTTTTTGATCTTCAATAACATCTCTCATTTCTGGCAACGTCTGGCATAAGGTCATTCCACTAGGTATTAATAGCTTATTCAACAAAAAAATATTCAAGTCGTGCCTTGCTGCTAATGTGGATTCCAAAACCGATACTCACAGAAATAAGGATATGAAAACATATAAAGGTTTTGATGAAAAATAAACAAAAGTTTATGCCACAAATCCAAAGCAAAAAAGTAGAATAAACGAAGCAAAATTACATCGCTTGCAAACTTGAGCTTTATTAAAGTTGGGCATGAATTAAACTTGACAACTGTAACGTCTAAAATAGTCAATTGTACGTGCTCCTGAGATAGTTTTCATAATTACAAAGTTTTGCCAGATGAAATGTTAATAAGAAACCCCAACTTTACGCTTCTTTTCCCAAATAATTTGGCTTCGAAATAAACTATAAGAAAAGTTCGAAGTACTCGATGACCAAGAAGACAAAGGATTTTTTTAAAATTCACATACCACACACGTGGAACCAAAATTGATGGAAGATCTTCGGGCGTTCCGATATGCAGGTACTTTACAACTGCTATCTTCTGCAGATAATTGCCCCTGCACTCATTAAGGTTGCGCACGTTGAGGTCATTGCACCTATATAGCTTGCCTGCCAATGTCTGGACTCCATAGCTGGCGAAGATGAAAATCAGCGCAACCAGGAGAACGGAAACCTGTCAAGTAAATTTGCAACACCAATCACTAAAAGTACGCTCACCGACTAGTACGTAGATAACAAAATATAACGACCTTTTTGCAAGTGATACTGACCAAAGAGAACAAATTTTCAAGAGGTTTCAATTCAAAAGGGAAGATAAATTTTATGTTAAATGCCAGGTAAGGTCCGGAGATTTTTAAAATCTGTTATTTGACAGAGCTGACTTTCTTGTAGTTACATTGAGTTCACCAAAACTAAGAGAGGAAATTGCATAAAACTTACCAAGAAGATCTCCCTGAATCCGCGAACTAGTTCGTACACCACTCTTCGCATGTCAGGAACAAGGGAGAATATTCTCAGAGGTCTCATGCATCTGCCGACCATCAGATACTGAGCAAAAGAGTGAGCGGGAACATCCTCAGGAAGCCAGGCAAGGAACACAAGTCCGTTTAAATAGATTATCATGTCCATGACTCCACCGAAGTCTTTGATGACCGCGTTGGGGGTGAAGAACAAACCGTTGGCCAGCATCTGAAACAAAAGAAAGATTGTATATTCTATCGGCCAAGCCAAGTCAGCTGTTTTAAAAACATTGCTATTTACCTTGTTTAAATATCTATCCTTAACAGGGACTCTATTTCATTGAGTATCGAAATCCGTTCTACTGTTCAGTTTACAAAAAAAACATATTTATCTGAAGTTAAACTGATCTAGGCAACTTTTCCAATATAATAGACGCTGTCTATACCTTGAAAGTGAGTTCGAGTGACATTGCCGTGACAAATATATATTCCGCAACCTGCAGCTCCTCATGTTCCACCACTCGGTGAAAAGGTGTCTCAAACATCATTGAACAACCGGACAAAATCGTTACTAGAATCATCGCCCAGTCAAGATACGGGACAAGAGCTAGAAGATCGAAGAACGGCTGGTATGTTGACCTCTTGATCAGCCCGGTGCGTCTGTCCCTTCCAATTCTATAAGAATACAGACTGAAAATGTATAAAAACGGGAGCAAGCGGACCTTAGCACTATTTATGCTACATTGCAAAAATAGAATGCCTAGCTATCCCACAAAGTATGAGCCGCAAGTCACATAGTCGAAAAAAATTATTTCAATCAAAATTTTCGGCGACAGGACAAGTACTCCATTCCAAAATATCCCATACCAGTATATATCAACGGACACAATATCCCACACCATTATAGCACATGTCAATTAAAGTATCCCATATTTGAATTACGAAAAATTAGAAATCACTCATTTGGTGATATTCATTACCAAAGATTGGTGAGTATCTCAATATCGCAATTGAAATCAGTCTCATTTCAGCTGCCTCAAAAAAATTGAGACGCCATACAGAGTGGTACTAATTGTAAAACAATCAATTACAGGGATTAAATTTGTTTTTCAAACTGCTGACGCAGTCAAATTGAAAAACGAATTCATATCATAACATTCACTTGACTTACAATCAATATAAAACTACTCTTTACGGCAAAAATTAACGAAGCAAAACGCTGCTTATCTTGGGTGAACACATATTCACTAAAAAAACGTGACACAAAACCTATGACTCATTAGCGTTGTGCGAAATGGCGTTCTCATGTCTAAGGACACTTATTCTTTAATCTCAAGGAAATTAAACATTTAAAAGATCTTCTCATCCCGTGAGGCGACAATTCAAAACAGGTGACAATTCGTAGCAGTAGATTAAGCGGGAAACACTGATTCACGCGCAATATTCCACTCGTGCCGGATATAAGCGCAGCGGTGCAAGCGTAATCTACTTGCCAATGTATAGTTCCCGCTGGCTCCAGAAGATAGACCAAATGGCTTCATATATCATGAAAATCGATGCTAAAGGAGAAGTAATTGGCTGACAACAGAGTAATCTTTTGATCGCCCAGCTCTCTTGAATCACTGTATCAAGCTGCGGCACGGCTCATTCGGACAACAAACAGTTGAAAGCTGGCATAACGATGTTGTATTGCTTGTCTAGTGTATCCAACCCTCAATTCACACTTTTTTGAAGAAAAAAATCAATTTGAACTTCAACCACAAATACAAAACTTTGAAAGCAAGCAACAAAGCTAGAAAACCCTTAAAAAAATCGACAACCCAATGACAAATTTCGGATGATCACTAATTCGTATTTAGTGAATTATTTCCAAGCTTTGCTATTTGCACACTCTTAGATTTCAAGTTGTTCAAGCGCCGGCATACTTTTACCAATTTGTCGGCATTTTGATGCATTTTTAAATGATGAACCAAAAAAAATGTATCGTATTTTGTTATCATATATTATACGCTTTGTAGAAGTGCTATGATTTGGAGGAAATGAAAGCCAATCGAACAATAAATTTGGATTTTCTCTCACCCCATCCATCCCTATATCGATTCATTTGCTTTAACCATAATGCCAAACGAGCTTAGAAAGTCAACCCAATGACACGGCTGTCTTTTTGTGGTCCAAAATATCGAAAGACAAAAAATACGGTTTGAAATGAGATTGATGACAAGCGAATTTTCAAGAGCTAGCAATGCTTTGATTCGTTTGTTCAATGCGGCATCTTGCGTGATCCAAGATGCCGCATTGAACTTTGCGTGATCCACTTTGTTCTTGTTTTTGCTGTCAAAACTAGATGTTGATCACGTTTTCCGTGACCTCTACACGTTTGCTGTTCAGTAAAATTTGACTTCCTTTTAACAAAGAAAATGAACTGAACTTTAAAAAAATCAAAGTCAAACCGCGAAAAAGTTAATTTGAGCCTGAAGAAATTTTAAGAATTTTCCTGACAAACAAAACAAAACGAGAAAAAAATCATCACGACCTATATAAGTGTCTGAATTAAGTTCATCGACTTCCTTCTTTAATAAACAAACTTCGAACCCAGGGGCGGATTTAGGGGGGGGGGACGCCCCCCCCCCCTTCAGGGATTCGACCCCCTGCCAACCTAACTTTGAGGGGGAATGCGAACCTGTTTTGAGGGGGAATGAGGCTTTTTTGACCGGTTTTTTCAAAAAATTTCCGGCGGCGCAGAAAATTTGGCCAGAACAGGGTCTTTTTACTGCTTTAGGAGTGCTCGGAAAATCAATTTGGTCGACCTAAAAAAAAAGGTCGTCAAAATTTTCGAAACATTTTTGAAAATCCTTCCCCCCCCCCCTCGAGAAAATCCTAGATCCGCCCCTGTTCGAATCAAAGGGATATTTAAAATGCAAACATGCTCAAATTTGTCCAACTAACGGCACAACTGAGGAGTTGCCCTTTGAAAAAGGTTGTTCACAGGAATAGTCTAGTAGCAGATTGCAATACACTTGCTCTTGCCATCTTAACTATCACAAAATAGGATTTTGTTACTGTTAAACTTTTTCACCATTGATCTTCGAGTTGCGAGAAATCATATAACTCACGGATTATATTGGGCGGTGACAATCATCTGGCAAAACTTCCGCAGTCGACATTCGCGTCCAACCATGAACAAAGGTGTGTCAAATAGAGGATGGTTTTCCCGTAGATTTTCCTCTTTAGCACTCCTGAAATGAAGACAATTCGTATCAAAATGCATTCAACCTCAAAATGGATCAACTGAACTTGATCTTTCCTTTTAATTTCGGCTTGTTGAGTCTTCTCTTGCAGAATCTTTATGTCCAGATCTCTGGTCTTGACGGGAGTAAATGCAGACACATGTCCGTTTTCCTTAGTCTGGTCAACTTTCATCCCCAGTTTGACGGATCCCGACCTTCTGTGCCTACGATCCTGCCTCAAAGCATGCTGTGTCGCAAAGAGCGACGTCCCCGCTGCTGATGATGTGTTACCTCGGTACAACATCCCTAGCCCAGAACCAGAGCCATTGCCTTGTTCATTCAAGCTCTGATAACGAATGCAATCTTTGAGTGCGGCTAGAGCGCGCATTTTGCGCGTGAAGTAATTGGGTTGGTTCTTCGTTAGTTCACGTTTGTCTTCTGTGGCGAGAAGTTTCTTCAATTCTTTGGTCTTGTCTGCCGCTAATGCAGTTGGCTCCTCCCAAGCTTCTTTCAGCCGTGGCTTCATTTGTTCGCTAACTCCCTCAATCAACTTGACCAGTACTTCATTTTCAGTTCCACCAGATATAAAGTTGCGCATGAATGAGTCCCTGAAAACCATGTTCACCAAAAGTTGTACTGAATAAACGTGATTTTAGCAGGGTGTCATCATGTCACCTCTTTTTCCATATTAAATTTGGAACAATCTAATCTCGCAAATGAGCAAAATTAGATTTTTTATTTAACTAAAATAGCTATTCAAAAACTTCGTATTTTTGATTATAGCATAAGAAAAAATGACGCAACTAAGCTTCAGATAACTACTAAGCTTCTGACAATACTCCAAAAATTCGCCAAATAGACGGCAAGTATACAAATTGATGCTTTTACCTGACTTTCGCATCAGACGGGAAGTCTGAGTTCCTCGACAACTTATTCACAGTCACCATCTGAGGTGTATCCGGAAACTTCTCAAACAGAGCCAGTCTCCATGGCAACTTATCCTCCGTTCCCGCTTTGTGTTCTCTAGCCTTCAACTGCTTGATTCTCTTGACGTCTTCATCTAACTCCAGATTGTCCAAAATGACAGCCACAAAGAGACATAAAACGATTAGAGTAGCGAATAAGTGGTAGAACACGAAATATACGGCAACGAAGGGGGCAAACCACTCTCCGCTCTTCCACATGGTAGTGTCCATGACCTCCACCCATCCTTCCTGAGTCAGGATTTGGAACATCGCCATGAATGCCTAAAAAGAAAAACGAAACTATTCTGAAGTGACCACCGCATTTAAACCTGTTATGATGAACGAATTAACTTCTTCACTGCAAGAGGAAACTGCACACAGAGGCTAAAAGGAGCTTCGCAACACTTGCGATGAAAAAAACTCTGAAAAAATGACTTGATAAAATAAGTTGTAAAGTTGAAAAAGATACAGCTACAAAAACTTCGTCGTTGTATAGGAACAAATTCATAAACAGCCTTAAAAGAATTGAAAATCATTTACAGAGCGGCAACAAATTTTGGTAGAAACCTGTTCAGCCGAAAACAAAACTGTTTACTTTTTCCCTCAAAACTGTGCTATAGAAGTTGAGCAAGTCGATTTAACATATCTGTTCAAATTTTTAAGAAAGGGAAAAACGAAAAAAAAACGAAAATCTGACTTGGTAAATTTAAACATAGGCGCTACGCGCAATACACCGAAGGCATAGAAACTGAAGCAAAAACCAAACAACTTGAACAACTAATAATTGAAGAATAACAGTTCTAGAACAAAAAATCGTTCTAATACATGTATACACCAAAATTTTGCTATATCGAGAAAGAGCCTGAAATAACAGTTCTAGAACTAAAAATCGTACTAACACATGTATAGGTTAAATTTTTGATATATCAACGAAGATCATAAAATAACACTTCTAGAACTAAAAATCTTACTAACACATGTATACACCAAAATTTTACTATATTGACAAAGAGCCTGAAATAACAGTTCGTGAGCTAAAAATCGTACGAACACATGTATACACCAAAATTTTGCAATATTGGCAAAGATCATGAAATAACAGTTCGAGAGCTAAAAATCGTACTAACACATGTATACGTCAAATTTTTGCTATATTGACAAAGATCATGGAATAACAGTTCTAGAGCTAAAAATCGTACTAACACATGTATACACCAAAATTTTGCTATATTGACAAAGATCATGAAATAACAGTTCGAGAACTAAAAATCGTAATAACACATGTATACACTAAAATTTTGATATATTGACATAGATCATAAAATAACAGTTCGAGAACTAAAAATGGTACTAACACATGTATACGCTAAAATATTGCTATATTGACGAAGAGCCTGAAATAACAATTCTAGAGCTAAAATCGTACTAACACATGTATACACCAACATTTTGCTATATCGACAAAGAGCCTGAATAAACGTTGTAGAACTAAAAATCTTACTAACACATATATACACCAAAATTTTGCTATATTGACAAAGAGCCTGAAATATTGACAAAGGACCTGAAATAACAATCGTAGAACTAAATGTCGTACTCAACGGAGACTGGTGTTAGATCCACGTGACTGGGAACCGAATTTTGCGACAAACTATTTGTGTGGTTTATTGTCTTCGCCTACTCGCGCTTCGTTCGTGCCCGTTCTGCCTGGTACACTTTCCGATCCATCTTTGACTTTGTTAATTTCTTAACATTACCACAAGTGTTATTTGATAAATTGTCCAGCAGCATAAAATTGGCAGCGGGTGTTGGATACATATCTTTCTTTTCACAAAGAATAACATAAGCACAACCCCAATCAGGGACATGGTGGTGCGATATGGTGCAATCGTTAACGCAAAGGTACTCATGAGCGGTTTTTATGACAGTAAAGTAATGACCGTATTCAAAAGACCCCGTGTGAATAACAGCAGCCTTTACTCCGTAATCACATCCACGAATTTCGATTGTTTCACCAATTGTGACTTCTGCTCTAGAGTGAACGCGATTGCCAGCGACAAACATGTAACGCGCAATCAGCAAAATAACAGTATTTGCAATATGGGTTGGTTCTTTAGTTGTTATTGCCCTTTCTGAGATACACGTGGAATTTGGACATGTTACATTAACGGCTTGGTTGGCGAAGTGATTGACCACAAGCTCCTGCAGAAGTTGACCATTGCGTGGAGGACTTAAAACTAACGCAGAAGTAGTTTCAGGTCTTCTCCATGACACATTACACAGACAACACGTGAAATTATCTGAATACGATATTTCAAAGAAATTCCATTGGCCCTCAGATTTAAATGCATTGATAATTGACAGTAGTACCTCGGAAGCATCGTGCTGATGTCCATAGGTATATGAGAAGCTGTAATTCAAATCAAGATGCTGGAGAATTTTAACTTTGGAAGTAGACGCATTGATGAAAAAGTTTTCTGTGGACAGCATTTGACAAAATATCTCTTTCACAGTTGAAATTAACACGCCACCATGGTCAAATTCAGTAAGTCTACTGAGCCGATCTCTGATGCAAGCGCTTGACAACAAAAGCTGAAGAACAGAATTGAGATAGCAACTGTTGTCATCATTTGCAATGCCCGTGGGTCGAAATGGCTCCATTACATGACTGAAAATAGAAGTAACATAAAATTTAACATTTTGCTTTACGTTATTGAGTCCACGCTCCAACAAATTCTTTTTTGAGAAATACAAAAGCAAATTTGAAAATTAATTACCGGACAGATATAACTATAGATAAATCTTTAAAATAAATAATTTAAAATCATTTTTGATGTAGCTGCAACCCAAAAGCAAGTGGACAAATCTCGTTGGCAGCGTTCCCTGTAAATCGTTGTACGCTAATTGGTGATATACAGATCTTTCTGAAAATATCCTAAACAGAACAATAAATTGAAAATCATTTTTTGCTTTTAACTACATAGCTAAGAAGTAGAACATCAAATTTCACAATCAAACAACAAAGACGCTAACTAAATAAATAAATAAATGAACGAACAAACCAACAAATGAACGAACAAACCAAAAATAAATAAACATAAATAAATAAATGAATAAATAAATACATACATGAATAATAAATAAAAGCAAAACTAAATGAAAGAAAATAATTAAATAAATATAGCAATAAATATCAACGAATAAACAAAACACACCTGATAAATAAATAAACAATAAAAAAATAAATAAATACATAAATAAATAAATACATAAATAAATAAATAAATAAATAAATAAACGCAAAACTGAAATGTACAAATAATTAAATTAACATGAAAAAATATATATCTCATCATGAACAAATAACCAAACAAACAGACCCATAATATAAATAAATGAAAGTAAATGAATTAAATAAATACACATACATAAATAATAAAAGCAAAACTAAATGAAAGAAAGAATAATTAAATAAATATAGAAATAAATATCAACAAGTAAACAAAACACACCTGATAAATAAATAAGCAATAAAAAAATAAATCAATACATAAATAAATAAATACATAAATAAATAAATAAATAAATAAATAAAAGCAAAAGTGAAATGTACAAATAATTAAATAGACATGAAAAAATAACCAAACAAACAGACCCATAATATAAATAAATGAAAATAAATAAATTAAATAAATACACACGCAGAAATAATAAAAGCAAAACTAAATGAAAGAAAGAATAATTAAATAAATAAACAAAACACGTGATAAAAATAAACAAAAATAAATATGTACATACATAAATTATAAATAAATATAAGCAAACTAAACATAATTAAATAAATAGAAGAACAGATAATTAAATAAATAAAGATGAACAAATAAAGAAACAAACATACGCAATCACGTGACATAGCGCGATATAGTCCAGCCCACATGATAATAGATAACTGTGGACGTTATTTGTCGACACTTGACAACAGACAACATTAAAAAAAAAAACCCCGTTACACGATACCATAACACCTTGACTGAAGTCTTCGGTGTAAACAAAACACATACACTACAAGGAAGTAAACCAATCAAATTTCTACCAGATAAACTGGGGTTTCAAAAAAAAGAGCCGACAGAAACTAGGACGAAAACCAGGATCCCATATAAATTTCTAAAAAGATCCCATAAGATTTTTTTTGAAAAAATAATTACAACCTGAAACGCGATTTAGCTAATTACTACCTAAATTATGGTAGTTTTGATCTTACCATTCCTACTAAACTGACCATTCTGTGAACAAGGTAATTTACGGGGAAAAAAGCCAAGTACGTGATTGCAATACCCTTGCTAATCGTAAGGGTAATTATGAGGTTATAGAAATTCCATTCATAGACTGTTTTTGAATTCTTAAGAGCTTATTTATGCACAATTCGATAGGTCAATTAGCATTTAATTACGAGCTAAATGTGTGCCTGAAAAATGAATAACTTAATTAATTTTACTAAACATTTGCACCTCAAGTTTGATATAATTTCGAAGAAACTGAACGCAAAAACCGATTTCAATGATATATTTAGACTGACCTGGATAAAATTCTCGAAGTGCTTCAGATCGTCAATGTGGCAGAACAATTGCAGACTGACTGCCGAAGTCAGAATAAGGGTGCTCATTGTGAACATGATCAAAGTACCCAACTTCTTGGTTGGACCAAAGATCTGAACAAAAAATTACTGGTCTGAATTTAAAAACCAAACGACAGTTCACTACGTAAATTTTAAATTAAAGCAGGCACTTAAAACTCATAATATCCCAAAATTGCGAGGAGAATGATGAATGCGCGCGGAAGAATTTCACAGAGGCTTCGTAAATATATGTGGCCTCATTTATATCATAAAAGCTGTATAGATGATAAGAAAATTGGAAAAGTTCTGACCTTGAACACGAACTCCTCAGTGACCGGAGACATTTTGATGAGTCTGACAACTCTCAACACCTGGAAATAGGTGAACTGACTCTGGTAGAGTGTCGGTGCCAGTCTGATGGTGGAACCAACAGCCACCAGGAATTCGAACTTATGCAGACCTCTCTCAATGTAGGCAGCATAGCCCAGGCAGAATATTTTGAACAGTGCTTCCAAGTCAAACAGCACAGTGAAGAGAATCTAAAAAGCAAAAACGACCTCGACAACGATCTTTTGCTGAGATATCTCATTTAAAGGAATACTGTTTTGAAACTAATCAAAAAGATAACTAAAAAATGATGTGTCCACAATCAAAACATTTGCCGAAAAAGATATGAACCATTTAAAAGCTGGCATTACATTGCAATGTATTAACTCACCTGGCCATAATAAAGTATCTCATTCCAATTTCTGACTTGTTCTTGATTCGCAATAGAGTAATGGGTGCTCGCAGCTAATAGAGCATCGGCCAACACCAGCATCAAAGCAGTGAGGTGGAATGCTGAAGACTGAACTATTCTCATACATATTTCAGGAGCAAGACCTCTTCGTTTGTTCTCGTCCACAGTTACTATTTCCCATGTAGAAGGCCCAGCAGTCGCGAACCTCTGCGAAAAATTACAACTATTGATGGATGATGTTCAAGTAGAACAAAAGGTTCCACCAGTTATTTTATTTAAATATATGCCGCTTTTTGTGCGTACGAAGACGCTAAAACTCAGCATCCAATATTAGAGATGGCTTCGACTCTTTTCAGTTAACTTTGTAAAATGATTCAGATATCCTTTTTTTTTTAATCAATTAACTAAAGCAGGAAAAAAATCGCAGGTAAAACTTCTTTCTCGCGACGTAATTATTGGCTTTTTGCTATATACGCTGTCCTTACGCACTGTTAAAGTCATTTACCAAGCGGCAACAAATTTAGAGTCGAAGCCTGTTGAGCTAAAAACAAACTGTTTTCATAAAAAATTTGTTAAAAATCCTTCAAAAATCAAATTGCCTGAATAACTTGAAGACTTTCCCGTAGTGCAAAAACATAAAGATTGCGAACAAAAATAAGATATTATGAAAAACCAGAACATAGCCAACAGACAGTTGGAAAAAAAGTCAATGACTCCAGTTAACAGAAAAAAATACTGACTTGTTTTCTCAACTTTCTAATTTAAGAAAAAAAACAAATGGCCTTAAAGTTCTTTGAAATTGTAGAACAACTTATGATTTAACCAATTTGAGAAAACTGATTCAATCGGTAAAAGTTTTATTTAGCTGGGAAATCTGATAATTAATTACACTTAGATGTTGATCACGTTTTTCGTGACCTTTAACCTTTCACTGGTCGATAGTTAGTTAGTTTTTTAACATAAGTTAACATAAGTAACACAAGCCCATTCGTTTTTTTAACATAAAACACGTTAAAAACTTGTATAGCAACGTGCTAAATGAAGCTTCAAAAACTAGCAATTAAAACTTAATTAATGCCTTTCCGGCAATAACAGCTACTAGATGGCTTAATTAGTATTAAATTAAAGTATTAAAGAAAGTCAAAAAAAATTTCAAACCGATACTTCTCATTGGATTGAAAATTTTGAAACAGCTACAAAGAAGAGCTTCACAGCACTAAGTCGAAAGAACGATGTTCAATTTAGGGAAAACAACCGCCGGCGTGAAATAGGTAGTCAGAATTATTCGTCGAGCGGCAACTATGCTGACAATACTTGAGCCAAATAATTCTGTTGTCATGAAAAACAAACCCGATAACACATGAAACAAACCATTTGAGCTAAAACACCGCTTTTAAGCAAAACGCAAAAGGTAAATTAAACAAAATCAGAGAAAGTATATACAAAAAATAGGAATAAACCAAAAACGAAAATTGCAACAAAATGAAAATAGCTTACAGCACAAGAAAACTCAGTCATGTTAAAGCCGACCAAGCAACAAAGTCGACTAAGCACAACCAGACAATATACTGTTACCAAAATGGTCGTTGTATCGTTTTTCTGATTGTGCGAAGTCGAATTTTTTTAAGAGCGACTTTTTTGTGCTGTAAGCTATTTTCATTTTGTTGCAATTTTCGTTTTTGAATTATTCCTATTTTTTGTGTATATTTATTCTCAACGTTTAATGACACTTGAAAATGAATTAAAAAGACAATATATTTGAACCATTTTTAAGTGCCGAATTTCGGAGAAAAAAATCAAGTTTAAGCTCTTTGAATTTAACGAACCTGTTGTGTGACACTTTTTCGGCGACGAGGAAAAACCTAGCTTCGCAGTACTTGCGATGCATAACCAACATAGGATGGCAAAACAAGTCGACATAAAGTTAGTCGTTCACTCGAATTTTTTTCTAATTCCAAGAAAACTAGATCTACAACTTGCATCTGCCTAGGTTGTCTTGACAAACAATCATTTTAGAAAAACATGCTCAGTATTTTTTTTAAACTTTGAACTAAGCTTTTATTCGAAAAGACTCCCTCAAAACAAACACATTGAAAATATTTAAACACAGAGGCGAAGCAGAGCTTCGCGCGACTTTCAATAAAACACAAACATAAAAAACATAAATCGAAAAATGTTTAAAACAAACTAGACGCAACAAAGTTTCTCTATGTATCGATAAAAGCCAACTGGGGGCCCAGTTAAAGCTGGAGGTAGTTGTTGCATATTTTTTGAATTTGTTATACTGATGCGGTATGAAACTTAAGAATTTCAAAATTTCGATTTTGCCCAAATTGCCCAAGTTGTTTCTCTACTAAGGTAGGTTTAGAATTTTCAAGAGGACATTTTTTTGAAAAAATTATTGAGTCGCCGCTTCTGCAGGAATGATTTGATGAAGTAATTTTAAAAAATTTTTAAAAAATGCATTCCAAAATCCGTTTGAATGAGCTTCCCACACCCTGTTTTTGGGTTGAATCCAAAATCTGAGATATGGGAGGGTAGTTTTCGGGAAAAATCAACGTTTAAAAAGCGGTCTAAAATCAAAAATTTGACTTTTGCGAGAGGGATAATTTTAGTGTCACGTAGGGCGTAGTCGCTTATTCAGGAGAGCTTCTGAAATTCGTTTTATTCAATGAAACCAAAACCTCAGATTTGGGAGGGCAGTTTTTCAGAAAACAAAAAAGAATCAAAAGTGTGGGTCAAACAATCCCCCCAGTCTTTTGCGAAAGCTGTAGACAGTGGGGTAAAGCAGAAAGAGACTAGGGAGTTTGCAGGCACACAGGCGGTATTTCTATTGATACCACTTTTTTCAGTAAATAGGTAGAATGGGTTTCGAGAAAAACTAAAAATTTTGCAATGAGTGAAAATTATCAAATTCCGAAGCGTCTCGAAAAATTTAAAACAAAATAAAAAACCCATTCCCTACACTTTAAAATACTTGTTTGTATCATACAGGAATTCTAGACAAGCATAAAAATCAATACATTTTTTGAGTTTCAAAGAAGCAGCGGAACAAAACTTACAAAGCGGAAACAAAGCCGATAATCTTTGAGCAGATACCCGTTGAGCCGAAAATGATTTTATGAACAACCAAAAAAAAATCAAGTTCCCCGCTGAAACTACAAACAACAACACTTGCAACTACCATGATACTTGCGGAATTCACAAACCGGGCCTAAACGTTACCTCTACGACAGGTGCGAAGGAACCTGGAAGCCGTTAGATACAGTAATGAAGCAAATTGAAAATTTGCAAAAAAAAATGTTTACGGGAAAAAAGTCTAGTTCCCGATAACACAACACTTGCTTTCGCGAATATATTCATCAAACGATGCAATTAATATGGTGCCACTACGCCGGTAAATTATAAGCCAATGAATCGACCTAAACAAATGATAAATCACTTGGTTCACGGACATTTGAAATATATAAAAAAAACTTCACTGTCATGAAAAATAATGTGTTTCAGAAGATTACTTACAGCAGGAGAAAAATTGAAAAATGGCGTGAACTGCACTTATACACAGAGGCGGAGCAGCGCAAACACTAGAGAGAACACGATAAAAAGCAGCCCTAAAAGTGCAAAGAAAAGGTAGAATTAAGCCTCAAGTTACTAAAAAAAATTCCGATATGTCTCTGATTCGAACCTATGACCTACTTCAACCTAAAAATTTCAGTCTCAAGCACTAACCACTCAGCCACGGACGCTTAATTAATGACAAACAAAAACCACAACTAAAACAGAGGACAGATGCTATGCAACTTCCAATGCTACAGTGAAATTACCATATAAGTTAACACTTTTGTTTGCTAGTTAGGTTAGAAAAAAAAGATGGTTCGTACTAATACACTAACGCTCGCAAGCTGGCTAGTGCATTATCTACCTGCGTAGGTGCATCTTCGAGTCCGAAGTTTTTGGTTCCACAGATTTGTTGAAACTGTACTCTCAGTTCTGCGAAAGTCTCAATGACGACAGCTATGAACACATTCTGAAATAATAAACGGTTGGTCTTTTACAAAAAGGGAAAATTATCGCTAGTTGAATACCAGTTCCCGCGTATTATCGTAAGTTTCAATCAGAAGCCTTCAATGGTTCAAGTGTCCATTAACGGTTGAAGCTATCATAAGAGTTACAGATTGTAGCTAATAATCGATTCGAAACTTAGTAACTAATGATAGAAAGCCGTTGTTAGAAAGCTGTTGTTAAACTTAGTAACTAAAATATGAACTGCATATAAGTAGACTTGATACCAAAATTTTAAAAAGAATTTTTTTTTGAACAATTATCAACCTTTACAAGCCACGCCAGGAAGAAAATAAGCGTGAAGAAGTACACGTATGACTTCCAGAACTCAAATGTATCCTGAGTTTTGTACATGGTCAGTATCCAGCCCTCTTGTGAGGCGCTCTCGTAGACAGTGAATATGCTGTAGATGAAGTGGTCGAATCCATTGTAGTCTCTTTGGTCCCATCTTAGGTGGATTTCCTTGCACTCGTACATCGGAGGACAGTGATAGCCGTAATCTGACCCTGGATAGGGAAAAATTTAATGAAACTGACATAGCACCGAACATGAAAAACTAAATTTTTGTTAAACTTGTTCATAATAATAGCATTTATTTTTCACATGAAACACAGCATGGCAAACAAAATAAATTACCTGAAAAATATGGAATTGCAAATATCTTTAATACTATTTAAAATAGCTAGAAAACCGTTGAAAAAAGTCAATGAATTCAAGGAAACCGAGACTTATTTCTCAATATTTTAGCGACTTTTTCGCAATATTCTCGAATTTTTGAGTTTCCTAGAAAGCAAGTATATCACCTTAATTACCTCACCTTTCAATTTCAAAAACTGTTATGGCTGACACATTTGTGATAAAACTAATCCAGTTTGCGAAACTGATAAAACTTTTTATTTTGCTGCTCTAAAAACTTAAACCCAATCTTCCCGCCTGTTCTTCTTATGCTAATAAAGAGCGTAATTTGCCTTCTATTTGGCATGAACTTGAAGTGCGCTTGATAAAAACTCAAACCGAGAAAAATATGTGAAATTGAACAACTTGAGCGTAAATTTGAGCACGTAGAAGACTTCTTCATGAGAAAAGTAACCTAACATCACATGACTTCAAAAATTTTCTTCACTTCATTCCTTGACACTTGGTCAGAAAATAAGGTTCCGAGGTAACCGTATTGTTAAACGCTTTATTTAAATTGCACTTGTTCATGACTGTGTAAAAATTTCAACACCTACCAATATGTGGGTTGCAATGTGTGTCTGGAATCATGAGGTCATCAATCTGAATATCGGACGCATTAGCATCTTTTAGTATACAATGATGGTTCAGTGCTCCAAAGAACTGCACACCCACTAGTCCATAGAGACAGAGAAAGAATAGAAGAAACATGGTAACATTCCATACTTGCTTGCCAGAACGCCTAAAACAATAATCGTGTTGTGGATGGTTGAGAACACAATATTCCTGAAAATGGGTTTTAAGCCTTTTGCTAGTCTAGCTGACCAGCAATCGTGCTGACCAACAAAATCTTAAGAAAATATCTAAATACGGCTCACAAATCTTGTATTGACATTTACGAGAATCATAGCTTATCGTTTTAAAACCTTTGGGCGCAGCGCTCATGCAGAAAAAAATCAACTAAATTGTTATTTTGATTGAGCTCAGAAACACAGGTTTGGCACAGTAGGTCTCGAGAAAAGTATAAAAATATTCAAAAAACGGTCAAGAAATGAATTTTGACTTTTCCGAGGGCCATAATGTGTCAAAAAAAATTGGGTGTAGTCGTGCATGCAAAGGAGCTTCTTTCAGCCCGTTCTTTGGATTGAACTAAAATACTTAGAAATGGGAGGATATATTTTATTTTTTTGGTAGAAATCACTAATTTAGAAAAAAAAACGCTCAAAAAGTTTTTTTTAAAAAACGTTTCTTCGAACATTAGCTTTTTGTGTAAAAAAATTGCCAGTGACCGTTAATAAATGGGACCTTCCCACAACCCGTTATTTTCATAGAACACAAAATCTCAGGTTTCGGAGGTTGGTTTCCGAAAAAAAGTGAAAAGATTCAAAAAACTGTCAAAAATTAAAAATTGCACTATTCCGAGGGCCATAACTTTGTGTAAAAAAAGTTGGGCGTACCCGCTTAAGGAGGGGACCTTTTCAAATCTGTTCATTGAAATAAAAAAATCAGATTAGGTAGGCAAGTTTTAGAGAAAAATTTAAAAAAAGTTTTAAAAAAATCGGATAAATACCACACTTGACCCCCTACGCATTTTCCTTGAGGTAGTCATAATAGCGATGTAAAACACACCCTGCGATATAGTTCCTTCCCACCCTAGAGGATGGTCGGATCAGTAAAAATGATCCATTTATTCACATTCAAGAGACGAAACCTGTAAATCATACCTGAACACTTTGGAGACCTTATTGTCCTCGGAATTGAATCCAACTGACTTATTGGCAGTCACTCTGAACGACAAGTAGTGTCTCAGGGGTCTCAGAATGATTAAAGTACGCGGAAGCCTCAGGATCACAATGGGACAATAAGGATTGAATACCCTCATCAGAAACAAACCCTAGAAGCACAAAAACATGTGTTAGAATTTTAATAGTTGGGTCCCAAAAACTTAGATGGATCCCTGAAGAATATTTTCAGGCCTTTAAATCTTCAAAAACCTCTTTTCTGTTTTTTTTTTACCTGCCATTTTCAAGTTTTCATTAAAAATACATGGTTTTTCCAGGAACAACAATAATTTCTGTACCAAAAATTTCAATAGTTAATACACTTTAGTTTTAACTCAATAATTAACTATGAACATAATTAGTACACTTACTTGTATTATAAGTGAGATCCAATGAAAAGCAGAGATGATTGCGTCAAATATCATCGAGAAAGAAAACGGTCGAGCTGCTTCGTCAAGAGTCGACTTCTAAAAAAAACGAGTTCTTCAGTATCCCAAAAACAGTAGACAAAGTAAATGCATCGCAAATGAGAACCCATGAAAACTACTCAGCAAAATGCTTACATATGCCAATTCACCAAAAGCTTCTGCAAACTGGCTTAAAGTTAGAATCTCGATTCCATTCCAATTAATAATTTTAAGCTTACCCTTCTTGCAGCATGGAGGAACGTCGATAAAGTCTCAAGCGAGAACAGCAATGCCAAGAAGAGATCGACAGAAAACAGAGTCCAGAACACAGTCAAATTCGGTTCGAATTCTGCCTGATTCTCAGCTGAATTGGATGAAAGTTTAGAAGGTTTGACTTTGGTGAAGAGCATGTTGGGAGTGTTTACACAAATTGAGATGAAGCTGACGAAGCAACTCAGCAAGAGGATACCTTGGGTCCACTTAAACAAAGAGATAAGTCATAGTTAATGGGTTCTAACATGAACATTTACTTAAAATAACAAAACCGTAAGATCTGTTTTCAATCCAGTTTTGGTGAATGACATGAGTCTGATCTAGACAGTGAACTTAATAACGAGCAAAACAATTAAAAATGAAGGCATTTTGGTGGGTATTTCGGGGGGCGTAGCGATTAGCCTATGAGCATGCGATAATTGCTTCAAGTGGGTGCGCTTTCAGATAAAAACAAATTAGCCTAAACTTTAAAATTTCCGAAACTCGAAAATAATTAAACATGGAAGCTAAAAATTGAACTTCGCCAGATACATTTGGCTAAATGCTCGCTGTTCAGAACTGCAAATTTCAGCAAACAAAACGTGAAATAGCGAATCTTCTAATTGGCATTCTTTAACTTGGGCATGCTAATCGACACATGCTAATAGACCGGTCCCTATGTAATTCAGCAAATAAGGCGCTAAACGAATAATTGATTCACGATTTGATTACCTCAAATCGAACTTGAAAAAGAATGACTAATATCATAATAGTAATTTGTTCCCAAACGATATCTAGTAACAGGGTTATTTATAAAAATTTACAAATACAAATCGTATGGGATAACACCATTAAGCCAGCACTGCCTGTTTTCAGGTGTCTCATTAAGCGGAGAAAATTAAATTCTTAGTTCTAATGGACCGTTCTACTGGATACCCTCTTTCAATCTTTTCTTAAAAATATATATATTTATTGTTTACTCCATAACCTAGAACACAACACAATCAAATTCTACATTCATCAAAATAAATCTCCAAGCATGCCCAACAAAACCCTGCTTCCTAGTATAAAAATTCTACAAAAACGCACCACTTGTTATACAATAAAAAATGGCACGTCAGCTAGCCCAAAAAAGGCCGCAACTGACTCGAAAAAAATAACGTTTGTCTGGAAAGCGGATGAATTTAAGAAATAATACAACTGGCAGGGCTAAATATGCATTAAGCGGATACTGAGTAGACGACTGTTGAGCCAAAAAAATCAAAACAGCTATAAAACGACTTGAGCCAAAGAAATCCTAAGTTTTACCCCCCCCCCCCAACCACGCATACCTTTCCGTAAGCACAAAAACAATTTAAAAGTTAGGTTCTTCATACAACGAATTAACAGATATGCATCAGCTGAAACCATTTAGCCCGAAAAAAAACCTTAAAGAGAAAAAAAAACGAAAGAAAGAGCAGAAGAAGCTTCTACAGAGCAGCCGTGGCCGAGTGGGTTAGGCATGCAACTCTCAAACTGAGGGTCGTATGTTCGAATCCCGGTTTTCTCTCGATTGGAGGGGTCCCAGTGTCATCCACTTCCTCAAAGTGGGACCAGCTACGGCGAAATGGGTGACATTTCCCTCCCCCACGGTTTGTACTGCACTGAGTAGGACCGGGGGTTTAAAAAAAAACATTTAACGCGGAGCTGGGCTATCGAAAATCCTTAGCATTTCAAGGATTACTTTTTGTTCCTCAAATCAAATTCTTTGCGCTATTCGCGACAAATATTCAGCGCCCACAAAACCTCTAGACCAGTTTCGAAAAAACTTTCCAAAGTTTCAAAGAAAAATTGAAATACTCAAGACGGTTCAGATTGATTCAACCATTTCTCCTACCCCTTATTGAAAAGGGGGAAGAGGGGATTTAGTTTTTACAGGCCTGGTTATTCTTTCTCATATAGCATAGAGAGGGTGTGGTGGTATTTTTTTGCCGATCTCCAAAGTATTAAAAGAGATCCGATGTTTCAAACTTCAATAAAAAAAATAATTTCGATACATCTATCATAAATAAACAAATTTTGAAGCTTACAAAACTTCTTAAAAACACAAATGACATAAACATATTTGCAGCAGTTCGATGTTAGTTTGGATAAAAAATTATTATTCTCTTAATTGCATTTGAGCTTGCATTTAAAGAAGTACATCCAGACCTGACAAAGAAATTAAGAAATAAATTCTAAAGATTCTTTTCGTTCTGATCGAACTGAAAAAATATATACTTAAGTCAAGATCAACAACATACACTCTACTAGTCTATCAACTTACTTTACTTTCCAGCCACTTGGGGTTGAGGGGGCTAATTGCAACTGCATTGGGGTCTAGTCGATCATCAAACGCGGCTTCTGCCATGGCATTCACAGTCGGCGAGGATGGGAGACCCACTGGAGTGACCCCTCCTGCACCTATTTGTACTTGATGCTGAGGTGCTACCTGCTCAGAAAAAGCAAAAATTGAATTCACCAGATCAAAGTTCGAAGGCATGAACACGTTGCGTTTCAAGTCAGTCTACAAAATGCTTTTCGATGAATTTAAGTTTCTAATTTCTAATATTGAAATGAAACATTGTTAAATGGTCTATGTAAAAACTAGACTTCACAAAATTGAACAAAAATTGGTCTATAGGTAGCATGATTTCTATTAGAAGAAAGACTGTTTCTATACATGATTTAAGTACGAAATCAGTGAAGTCACAGAAAAAACTAGAATACTCCACCATGAACATACCTGCTGAGGAGATGGAGATCCCGGGGGTGCTCCTAGTGCCGCTGGGTTGGGAGAGAGGTTACCTCCTGTAGGAGTATGGCCTGATCCACTTTGACCACTGGGCGACACTGAGGCCACGGCAGCCACCATTGGGATCGAAGACAATTGCAGACCCTGTTGGGGCCGAATTACCGCCTCTTCCATTGCAGTTGGAAGGCTCAACGCTCACTTCAGAACATATCTGAACCTCATAAGCAATTTTACTCTGAAAACAACTATTAAAGTAACAGAGAAACAGACATGCTAGATAATGAACCAAAAAAAAACTGAAAATTGTCCGGTTTTCTCTAACTTTTGAGTTTAATAAAACAAATAACAACATTTTAAATCTATTTGAATTTCCAAAACCGTTTAGCACTGGCTTTTATGGTACAATTTAATCCAATTTGAGAAAAAAATAATTAATTGTTTTAACTGCTGACATTAAAAAAATAATTTTAAATCACTACCAAATTAAAACACAGAGGCGAAGCTTCGCTTCGCAAACACTTGCGAGAACACAACCGTAAAGCAACTCAAGTAGCAAAAATCCCAAAGCATAAAGCCACATAGTGTTTAAATTGTGCATTTCAAAAAATTGTGAGATAAATTGACTTGAAAAATTTTCTGAAATCGACTTTTTCATTATTGTAATGTTGTTTGAAATAAACCATTTTTTCGAGTTTCCGATTCATTTGATGAATTAACACAGAAGCGAAGCTGCGCTTCGCAAACACAAGCGATGAAAATGCAAAAAAGAGCTTTAAACAGGCAAAACAACGCGAATTAAGAAAAAAATTAAAAGACACCTTGAAAGTTTTTGCTGAGATTATTAGTATCACGTTCTCACATCTGCTCCACGACCACTTTTAATTTTACTACTACTAGCCATCAATAAAACAGCTACAGTTTCTATTAAGCTGCCAATGTTATGCAGCAAAAATTCGACCAAAAGAAAACAAAAATTATTAAAATGCTCCAGATATGAATAATCCGACCTGTTGATTAGAAATCATACGTCCTCGCATCTGCGCTAAGGTCGCTTCCAAAAATCGATCAACTTTTCTTACATCCATAAATTTTTCTCTACCACAGCATGGGAATAGTCTCTGCTTTCCACACCATGATTTCTAGATTGAAAATTTCCGAGAATAGTGACGAAATTCTAAAAAAAAAAGTAAAAACTAAATAGGAACTTTTCCGAATTACATAACAGCTTTTTTATTAAAAACAATTAAAACAGATTACTCAGGCAACTCCAAGCGTCATGTTACTTTTAATGAACTATCAATCTCAGATTCAACAGGGTAGTTTTTGAAAAAAAAATCTAAACATAGGCGCTACGCGCAATACACCGAAGGCATAGAAACTGAAGCAAAAACCAAACAACTTGAACAACTAATAATTGAAGAATAACAGTTCTAGAACAAAAAATCGTACTAATACATGTATACACCAAAATTTTGCTATATCGAGAAAGAGCCTGAAATAACAGTTCTAGAACTAAAAATCGTACTAACACATGTATAGGTTAAATTTTTGATATATCAACGAAGATCATAAAATAACACTTCTAGAACTAAAAATCGAATGAATAAAATGCAGTAATGGTAAATTTGAAAACAGATTCAAAGAAAATTATCACAAAGAACTCATCTACTGCTAGTCAATCAAAAATATAACAAGGTACATTTGAACGATTTGAGTACATTTGAGAGACATAACAAAAATTTGTCTACAACTAGATATCCAGAAAGTGTAAAGCAGTCTTAAGCGTACTACTAATAGGCGGTGTGTAAACGTGATACAACGCCTTGGGTGAACTCGAGCGTAATGGACGGGTTCTCGAGAAAGAACTCAGACAGGCTTACTTCGTTTGTGCATGGAGCGGGCAAAAGATTTAAATCTATCAGAAACCGGCGTTTGTCACTAATAACAACGTGTGCAACATCTTTTGGCGTTGGTGCCCGACTGACAAGTCCACATGCCGGATTCTTGCACTTCAGAACTTTTCCCTGCAACCGAAAATGATTTCAGTTTTTATTCAACAACGATACAATAGTTTTCAATGCATCAACAAATAAACAAAACACACCTGATAAATAAATAAGCAATAAAAAAATAAATCAATACATAAATAAATAAATAAATACATAAATGAATACATAAATAAATAAATATATAAATAAATAAAAGCAAAAGTGAAATGTACAAATAATTAAATAGACATGAAAAAATATATATGAACAAATAACCAAACAAACAGACCCATAATATGAATAAATGAAAATAAATAAATGAAATAAATACACATACATAAATAATAAAAGCAAAACTAAATGAAAGAAAGAATAATTAAATAAATATAGAAATAAATATCAACAAATAAACAAAACACACCTGATAAATAAATAAGCAATAAAAAAATAAATCAATACATAAATAAATAAATAAATACATAAATAAATACATAAATAAATAAATAAATAAATAAATAAAAGCAAAAGTGAAATGTACAAATAATTAAATAGACATGAAAAAATATATCTGAACAAATAACCAAACAAACAGACCCATAATATAAATAAATGAAAATAAATAAATTAAATAAATACACACGCAGAAATAATAAAAGCAAAACTAAATGAAAGAAAGAATAATTAAATAAATAAACAAAACACGTGATAAAAATAAACAAAAATAAATATGTACATACATAAATTATAAATAAATATAAGCAAACTAAACATAATTAAATAAATAGAAGAACAGATAATTAAATAAATAAAGATGAACAAATAAAGAAACAAACATACGCAATAACGTGACATAGCGCGATATAGTCCAGCCCACATGATAATTGATAACTGTGGACGTTATTTGTCGACACTTGACAACAGACAACATTAAAAAAAAACCCGTTACACGATACCATAACACCTTGACTAAAGTCTTCGGTGTAAAAATGGGCAAAATTTCAGATAATGGACATTTTGTAACGCAATATTTTTTCTAAAGGCAGGGCATAGCCGATTGCCCAGATAAAATTCGCATAACTGATTTTATTTTTCAGTTAAACCTTCAATCTCCGATATTGCAGGGCAGTTTTTGAGGAAAAAAATTTTTAAAAATTAATCATAATGTCAAAAAATGGGCTTGTTTGAGGCCATAACTTTTTCTCTTGAATTCAGGTAATAGCTCTTTGAGAAGGGGATATCCCATAAATTGTAATCTCTGATTTGCGCATTTAATATTTGAGAAAGTGAAAAAATTTAAAAGAAACAGGCCAAAAACCTCCCTATTGAAAAATTCTAAGACCGTAGAACGTGAGGTAAAATTTACTAACGATATTTGCTGCCACATAGAAGATCAGCCGACTTTTCCATTTATACCATTTTTTTTAAAATACTCAGTAGTTTTTGAGAAATGAAATTTCTGCAAAAAAAACAAAAAAAATTTCCAAAGCGTTGCAAAAAAAAACGAAAAACAACAAATCCCATACATTTTCATAATACATGTTTTTTTCTTTCAAACAGGACCTAACACTAGCAAAAAAAAACAAAGCAGTAACATATTCCATTAAAAATTTTATGCTTTCATAAGCCTAAATATGATTAAATATACCAAAAGCGCCACCAAAGGAGCACTTTTATTTGCGACTTGGGTTGGAAAAATGCGAAGGTTCGTACTAATACACTCGCCTTGCAAGTGTAAACAAGCGTGGAAAGAAATTCGAGTCTTTTCCCGGAAAAACCAATCGACCTAAATGAGTGCAATCTAAACAGCTCGGTACACATTTCTTTAGATGCAGCAACACTCATGAATAACAAGTGAAATTTCAGCGGTTACAGTGGTGTTTCGGAAGCTTGGACTCGTTGTGTCTTAAAAGGGCCAGAACCAACCTTTTATGAGACTAAGCGAATCGCAACAATTTTTTAGAAATAAATCTCAAAAACGTGTAAAGCCAAAGAGCCGATTGCTTCGCAACTAGCATTAAAACCTCTTTCCAAAAATGGTATGTAAAACAGAAACGGATATGAAAATCTAACAAAGAAACTAACAAAAAAATTGATGATCGAAGAAGAAATCAAATGAAACAAAAAAATGACTTGTCAAGTTAAAAAACTTTTTTTGAACTTTGAAACTAAGCAAAGCGACAGTTAAAAAACTTACTTTTTGAACTTTGAAACAAAGCAAACAGGCAGTTAGAAAAATGTTTAAAAAAACAAGGAAACCAAAAAAGGTTGACTCAACTTTCGAAGAAAAAAAATTACCATGTTGGAGATCTTTGAAATACTGTTCAAGATTTGCACTTTTTTTCTTTATCCTATTGTAGGGAAAAATGTTTCAACAGGTAATTTTTATTATTCCACAGGAAACTAGGAAATTAAAAGTCCTTCAAGTTTTACCTGACCTTACACTTCGGTGAGCGCTCGACTAGCATAAGTTTGAAACATGAAAATGTATCGACTAGCATAAATTTGATGCCTTTATTTCTCAGAAATACAAAACAAAAATCATAATCCGTTCAAATTGAAACAAAAATGCATTTCTTAGAAAAAAAATGAGCTAATGAGAAATTAAGCAATCAACTAGCAATTTAAACGGATCAACTTAATAATCATACGCCCAACCCCCAACCATACTACCCCCACCACACCCCCACCCCAACAATTCCCCCTCGAGAAAGGGGTGGGAGATTGTAAAGTAGATCGAGTTTGAATGTTTGGGGAGGGGGGAGGGGAGGATGTTAACTTTGTCAAATTTAATTGGTGAGTTCGTTCGAAATAAATATTTTATACAGAAATTGTTTTCAAAATTACAACTTGGCTAAGGGGGATATTCAAGGGTAGGTCACTTAGGGGGGATATTGAATTGGCATATCCCTAAATTTATCCCCTTTTGCTAAAGGGGGAGATTCGTTACAAGCTTTAAAACTATCGGATCTACTTAAAAACCGCCCCCCTATGGTACCTACATAAGAATCTCCACCCCTAAAAAATAAATGCAGTAAATTAGCGCTGAGCTTTCTATTGAGAACTCCTACTTTGCTGCATTCTGATTGGTCGAAAAATCGATCATTTTGATCTACTTAACAATCTCCCCCTTTTCTTAATTAGATCCAAACTATCATATGCTAAACCGTCAACTTAGTTCTTTATGGGGGGATATTCGTTACTAGGTACCAAGGGTAGGGTATAGTTCAAAGGATCGTAGAATTGTAAGGTTGATCCATATTTTGTGCAAAATGATTTAGTTTTGCCAGTATTTGTTTCACTGGCGAGCAAGGGACTTATTTGAATTTTCTGTTTGGATTTATATGCTAGTCGATACATTTTTCAATTTTGAAACTGAAATGCTAGTCGTGCTTTATGCTAGTTGATACACCACCTTACACTTCTGCTGTCCGATGGTGAATTTAGCCTTCATTAAATAAACAACTTGGGCGAACTTGAAAAAAAATCATGAGTCAAACCGCGAAAAATCAAATTTGAAAAAGCAAAAAATCATCAAGACCTATTTAAATCAAAATCTTGTCTTACTTTTACACCACGATTTTCAAGAGATTTTTAAGACACCAACTTTTTTTGATAAAATTAACCCAACTTGAGAGCACTTGGCAAAAATTCACAATTTTTTTGCTATCGGGGAGATTAGGTTCTCTTTCCTTATATAAATTCTAAGTGAATTTAAAAAGAAATCAAAAGTCGGATCTCTATAATTAAAATTGAGCGCAAACTTACTTTTTCCTGAAAACAAGCAAAAACCACAACCCACAAATCGTTGAAAAACATCATATATAAACGCGCTTCAAATAAGTAGATATAGTTTAAACAATTCGAAACTGAGCTATGAAGATAGAAGACGAAAAATTGCAAAAAGCAAATATAAACAGAAATGAGAGACGGAAAAAATTGTATAGATTTTGAGAAAAAAAAACTTTTTTTTGAGACACTACTAGAAGACCGAAGATTGCTACAAGTTCAGATCCACTAGATTAAGAGCTTACGAATTTCATTGTTCTTTAATTGTTTAAATTGTAATCGATAATTATTTTTTTTAAAACTCGCAAAGATTTCCAGAACGACTCAATTTTTTGAATTAATTCTGAAGATGAGACTTGGAAAGGACAGTGGCATTGCACATAGCTTAATATCAAGAATGCATTTAAAACATTCAAAGTAGCAATGAAAAACGATTTCAAAGACACTCACGGTTCAAGGCGAAATAGTTTTTATTTAGCGCACAATTTTTTCCCACAGCATTGCCGACAAAAGAACTATCGCCAAACTTCATTTTTAAAATGTCAAGAAGTTTACCAAAAACCTTTTGAATTATTGAAAACGCCCAATAAGTTTGATGAAAACTATAACTGTAATTGGTAGCAAAAAGCTCTGACAGACAGAGGAACTAATTCAGATGACTGACACAACTTAGATGATCAGCCAGTGATTTTCGACATTTTTGCATCAAAAGTTTGAAACCGAACAACCTACAGTTTTTCGTCAGACGAAAATTGATTGCGAGGTTGTCGATTAATCGACAATTACGCGCGCTTGAATTTATAACACTGCGCAGAAAATTGGATTTGACTATCAAACTAGTGAAAAATAACAAAAATCGAACCGTTAATGATATTTTATTTTAAAAAATCCTTAGTTAATGATCTTTCCACAAAACAATATATATTGGGCCGCCTCACAGCAACGAGAAACACAAACAGGACTGAATATGATAGAAAAAAACTTCAACACAGGTGAGGCTGAGCTTTGCACCTTTTGCGATTCAAATAGGAATGACTGATTCAAATCAAACGGAAACATCAAAAAATTAGTATTGTCCATGAATAATTGCAACAAAATCCCAAAATATCTGGAACATAATTGTCTGCAACGTCAAAAACTTTACAAAGAGCTTTCGGACTGCTATAGGGAAATCGAATTTTCAAAAAAAAACCTAATTTCTGCGGCCGTCGAACTAGGCTGACAAAAAAAGGAGACCGAAAACAATCTGGACGAAAATTTTCTGCTAGCAAAAAAATTACTTCTCGACTGAAGAAGAACTCCGGGCATTTGTCGTCTCAAAGATGGGTGTACAACAACTTGGAAGAAAGCTGAAACTTCAAAAAAAAGTTGGACTATGGGAATTAAGCCGACAAAAATAAACAGACGGACGATAGCTCGACAAAGCACAAAAACTCTAATTTGCAACAAAGGAATAGATTACCGCTATGCTTGATGCGCCGGATGGTTGATTAAATTTGAGTCTAAAATAACCAAGCGGTAACAAAGCCGAAAATAAGTGAGCAGAAACCTTTCATGTCGAAAAAAAATTCGAAAACAAAAACTTTTATGTAATAAAAAATTTTCATGTCCCTTTCCCCCTCAGAACACAGGCACGCGCACAAAAACCTTTTTCGATCACCAAACGACACAATAAGAGGCCACAAGGTCATTATAAATTAAGCCAAAATTTTTACAATTCGAGTTGGTAAAGCAACAACCAATGTAAAACACTTAAAGCCATTACAATGATTATAGTTTACAGCAAGGCAACGATACTAAATGAGGCAACTAAGTCGAAAAAACAAGCAGAAAAAAAATTGGCCGAAATTTTTTAAAACTGGAATATTTACCGTTTGAAAAAAAAAAAGGTCCTAGTCAGACTCGAACCCAGGACCTCTGCCGATCCAGGCGTATGTTACCTTCTAAGCAACGAATATACGAAAAGTTCAAAAAAATTCAATTAAAGAAAGCCCTAAGTAACGAAAAGCTAAGTGTGCAGGAGATACTAAGAAATTTGAATTCATTATGCACAAAGGTATCACCAGGAGTTCAGATGAGTCCTGTGAACAAAGTTATTGACGGGAAATCTATTACCCGATTGCAACACCCTTGGTTATCGCACGGGTAATCAAACTTTCGCAAAAAAAATTGCAGAAAACATAAGCCGCACTAAGCAATAATTTTCCAGTTTCAAGATTCACGATTCGATGAGTTATCCGAAAAGCAGGATTTCGCTACCTCGAAGTTTCGCAGAGTTTTTTTATTCAAAATTCATATTCATCTCAATTTTTGGTTCTGGTCACTTAAATTCGCTAGTGTAAAAATTGGACCAATAGGTTATCGTTTTATTTCGCTGGGAAATATGAAAAGTAAATTCCACTTTTGAAACTAAAATTCGATCACTTTTTTCGTGAACTTCATACTTTTGCTGTTCTTAAAAAACTCAAAAGTCAAACCGCCAAAAAAAATTGAGCCTGAACAAATTTTACGACTTTTTCTGAAATAAAAAACAAAATATCATCGCGACCTATATAAGAGTCTGAACTATGTTCATAGACTGTTTAAAAGGCCGTATTTTCTGATTTGATACGCTTGCTAATCGCAAGTTCAAGCAAAGTTGCTAAGGAGGAAAAGTCCACTTCCGGGTTCTAAAACACGTAAGCAAGTTTTAAAACTCTGTGGACTTTGATTTTGAAATTGAACGCTTAGCATCAATTCAAACACTTGCGTATTCAAAACAAGGACAGCCGTTTGCTGCAAGTAGCACAGATAATTCTGACCACAAAAAAAACAATCCTATCACAAAAAACACTTGATGTTTTCTTGTTCGTTCGGCTTCAGTAGCAAGATTAGTTTCAGTAGCAAGATTAGAATGAGCATATTTGACTATGGTTTATTTTCTAAAAAATTGATCAAAAAAAAACATTTTTTTTTAATTTTGCAGTTTTTTTTCGTTTTTCTAGGATTTTTTGCTGCTGAGAAGGCGGTAAAAGAAGCTTCAAAATCGTTCCGTATTATAAGCCTGCTCGCTCGCTTTATTCACACAAAATTGGACCAAAAACCAACAAATGTACACCGGTTTTTCTCTACACAGCGGAAGCTTTTAAAAAGGTTCGAATCATGACTGCATGGACTAAAATATGGTATGCCGTTCGACCCCTCCGACGAATTATTGGTTTAGCTGAATTCGCGCGGAAAACAAAAAAAAGAAAAGACTAAAACACACCCGAATACAAATATCCTCCCCCAATGAGCATAACTGATCGGTCCTTTTCAGTAAGACACTTTCCAATGACTAAAAACCAATGACCATCTAAGGTTTATATATTCCAAATTTCCTTGACAAAAACTTCCTGACAGCTAACGACTACAAGCACCCAAAAACTTAACAATAAATCAATCTAGAAACGGACGGACACTCCTGAACCTAAAATTATTCTCATCGCACCAGTTTTCCAAACAAATAAAGCTTTGGTTACTTGGCGAGAAAAGCATTCATTTAATCAATTGAATTAGAAACTCATTACCTGAATTATAATAAATATAAACAAAATATCTCGCCCGAAATCCAACTATATTAAGAAAACTATTTGCGAATTCAATTAATCTGCCTATGCCAATCAGACATCTATTGGTTCACACGCAGCTTCATCCGAATGTTGATATAAACCATTTTTTAAGTAGATTCACTTTTCAAATTTTCAATTCTCTTTTCCAATGATGCAATATTAGACTGAATATTCTGCATATTCTGACCCATATTCACTTTCAGTGTCTCCAAAGACGTAGTGTTACTTTTATTCGAAGTGTTGATTTGTTGTTGCAGAGTATCGATAGTGTTCAGTGCTTGGCTAAACTGCAGTGTTTGTTGATGCAAGGGGTCAAGTGCGGCCAATCTGTCTACAATCAGAGGCAGACTGTCTGCAACTGCATCCCACTTTTGGGCTACTTCCAGCATCTCTGCTACTTTAGTCAATTTCTCTGAAGGCACTGGTTTTGACTTCACCTCCTGAAACATCAAATTACAGATTTTGGACACATTCTTGTTGGACACTTTTTCGCAAACTAACCCGAATAGAGAAAATTAGATAAGTGAGACGACAAGACATTAAGACGACAAGACATTAAGACGACATGACTTAAAAACGACAAATGAGAATTAAAACATGTAAATTAAACGGTTGGAATTTAAGCTTAAACTATTTCTCAGAAATACAATGGGAGAATTAAGCAGATTTAAAAATTAAGAAGACATGCTATAGTCGGAAAGTTAGACTTCCACAGAAAAATTGTCAGATGTCCGCACGGACTCAAACACCGGGTCTTGGTCGCCTCAAGCATTGGTGCTACCTATTCACCGAATGTAGCATCAGACAATGGTTTTGAGTTCATTATGAAGCTCTTTGAAACAAGTAACCTTCTCACGTACGAATTCCGTGAACGAAGTTATTAACGAGAAAAAAGTATAATGACAAAATTACCTTTAGTTTGTCCAGCAAAGATTGCAGTCTGAATTCAATCATGTCCAGACTCTGTTTGTCCAACAGATTCACCTTCTCCTCCAGCTTCTCCACAGCCGAGACTAGATTCGGCTCCGAGCCCAGAGAAGCTATTGATGCTCCAGAGGCAGATCCAATTGATTTCTCCAGCGACGCCACTCGGTTCTCCAGCTCAACAAGGCTGAACAGAACGTACTATGTCAAATAAACTAGACATAAATTCCGCAAACTTTTCTAGCTATTTTTAAAAACTTATTCTAATTTGAAAGGCCAAAAACAGTGCCAAGTGGTTTAACCGTCGGCAAATTTTTTTAAGTAATTATTCTGGCATTTTTGTGGGGTCGGAAGAAACAATGGTATAGGTGGCTTTTTCGCAGATTAGCAAAGCTTGAGGCAATCAGTGTGGTTGCACATTGAAACCCTTTCATTCGTACATAATTTCATTTATAACTTTCGATTTTTTAGTGATTACTATGGTCGGAACATTCGGAGCTGCTTGCATAGCAACAGGCTACTCTTTTCATTCTCGGACTATAAACAATCTCCTTGTTTGATATATTCAGAAGACTTTGGGTCAACTGAAACTTACGTGCTAGATTTGGTACTGCTACTACTCGGCACATACAACTCATACTTTGCTTTACCAGAGTCTCCGCCTGTGGTCGGATCCGAACCTGCGGAGGAATCTGACTTAGTCGTCAACTTTGTGATCTCATTAGTAAGTTTCTTTGCAATGCTTCCCTCTGGGTCTAATACGGCTTCCTCACACTTAGTTATTTTATCCAGTTGAACTTCTTGTAACTGTTCCAAAAGCATCTTGGCGCTTTCTCGCATTTCGACAGCATTCGCTGGATGTTTCTCACTAGCATCATCTGACGTCATTTTATCAAGCATCGATATGAACTCAGTGAACTCCGTTTTCAGACGGTCAAATTTCTGAGAAGGCGTTTCTAGGCTTCTCTCGCAGATAATTTCATACTCCGAACGTGGAAAGTAGCCAAAAGAGAAATGTCTATTTTTGAAGATGTCGTCTTTTCTATCTTTGGAGTCATCGCTGTGCGCGAATTGGTTCTGCGCGTCTGAGAAGGATATATTGATTCTCTCGACACATTCGCTGTTGTCCACACCTGAACGCAAATAATCAAATACAAGCGCAAAATACATATGCGTATACATATTGGTTTCACATTTTGATTAAAATCTTGCTGTAATTCAACTTTCTCATTAAAAATTACATTTTCAAAATCAGAGTTAGTAAAAGGATGATGAGAAAAATCAGTTCATTTGAGTTTAAAAAAAGTCGACCTTTTCAGGTCAGTCATTTCAAATTTCTCTAGATCTGTCGAAACATTAGACAAAATAATTGGCAAAATTTGATAATCCACAGTCAAGTTTCTGGAAAAAAAATACGGTTATTGAACATTTTCTCGGGAGACTTATCCACAAAAAGATTTTCCTACACCCCTCCCCCTAAAAAATAAGTATAAAAGGGGTCATAAACGGGGGTATAAGTTGTTAAACCGAAATCAGTTGTTGCAATTATTGCCAAAGGGGGAAATATCTCAAACAGAATTAAGAGGGGGCTATATCTTCCCCGACACGCTACTGCAACTCAACAATCTGAAACTTAAAAGCAAAAATAAATTATTTGCACTTTAACACCTTTATACAATAAAATATTGAAGTTCAACTTTAAATTTTTCATTTCCGTACAAGACGCAGAAAGGCAACTGCTTTGCCGCAACTCTCATACATGAATTTATTCAAAGTCTTAAGAATGAACAATAAATCAGAACATGAATAAATTGATCGAATTCTATATTAGAGGAGACAAAACATCTATCCAACAGACAGAGGGGAAATTCAGTTTAAAACAATGCATTGAAGACCTGAATCTGATTTTTTCGTAATTTTTTTACCTTTTCAAAGAAGTTACACCACCGCACAGCTCTTTCAAATTCAACTTCTTAATGATTGCTATTTCCATGCGCTAAGATAAATTAAATCCCCTTTGAAAGTGAGCTTTTGCGAACTATCAATTTTAATTTCTGAAAACCTCCCTTAGAGCTCCCGCTTTGGAAAATCGAATGTCGAAATGGCAAAATAACAAAGAGCGCTTCTTTCGTACAATTACTATATCAGTTTGAACTGAGCGCTCAAATTTTTTCGACCATTTGACATTCGATTTTCCACACCACCGCCATGTTTTATCTTCTTAATGTGATATTTGGAATTTGCTAATTTTATTTTTGAAAAATTTCTGAGCCGGATTGATTCGGGGCTATGTATTTAAAGAAAGCTAATTATAGCGCTCATTATTTTCAAACCATTATTTTAAAGGAAATTTTCAATCGCATGATATCGATACAGTTCATGGGGTTGGAAAAAAATTATCACAACTTTGCTCATAGTCCGAAGAGAAGAAAAAACAGGCCACAAATACTCCGTCACTTTACTGATAAACAGAAAAATATTCTCAGAAAACATGCTGTAAATTTCTAAAACGGGAATTCAAGTTAACTCACCCTGACCCAGTTTAATTACAGTTTATGTACGGATAATATTTTCCTTACTTGAAGCTAGAGTGCCTTTCACTGAAAAATATAAACTTAAACAAGGTCTTAAAAAAAACAAGTAGCCGTTGGCTGTACAACTAGCTCGTAACTTTCTGATCATGTTAGTTATTGCAAAAAAACATAGCCCACAGACAGTTGGAAAAGAGTCAATGGAGCTATGAAAATTAAACTTCACTTTCGAAACTAAAAGTCAATCACATTTTTCGTGACTTTGTCAATCACAATTTTGGCTATTCGATAGTAGAATTTGCCTTCCTTTTAATAAAGGAAATAAACGGAACTTGAAAAGAAATACTGTGAAAAAGTAAATTTGAGCCTGACCAAATTTCAGGAACTTTCACGAAAGAAATACGAAAAAAAACATCGCGACTTATGTAAAAATCTGAACCAGGTTCTTCGCCGTATATATTGCCGTAATATATTGCTGACAAGAATTTAGATTCAAATTAGACATTATGAGTCTGCTTTGGTTTAAAACCCTAAAAACAGATTGGAATTATGTGATTTTAGGATAATCCCATACAACGAAAGTTCAAGGTTAGAGTCCATTAATAGGATAAGTCCATTTTAAGGTAAGTCCATGGTTAGAAAGATAGCCAGCGTCAAGCATTCGCTTAAAAATCAGGAGCGGTAACTCAGCCGACAATACTTTGTTAGACGCCAGTCAATCCGGAAACAAAAATATTGTCATTAAACCTTAGAAACACAGAAGAATCCACACCTCTTCGGCTAACAGAAGAATGAGAATCTAATTTTTTTTCAAACCCTCCAATATTAGGTGATATTTTCGATATCATACCAGCCAAAACCATTTACACTGAATAAAAGTTTAAGAAAATTAAGAAAAACCGTGAAAAATATACAAACGTTAAATTATATAACAAAACGGTCGATAAATTTGAACAGTTGGAAAAGAGTCAATGAACGCAAGGAAACAAAAAAAACTGACTCGAAAATTTCAAACCTTCAAATTGACAAATTTAAAATAAAAATTATATGGCTTTAAAGAATTATATTCCAGAACAATTAACATTTTTTTTGATAGAACTAACTCAATTTGAGAAAACTGGATCAATAGACAATTTTTCCTTATTTCGCTGGAATATCTGATAATTGAAATCTTTTTTCGAAATTAAGGCCAATCAAATTTTTCGAGACCTTTACACTTTCGCTGATAAATTAAGCATTTTGCTTTCCTTTTAGGAATCATCGCAGGATTCAAACTCAAGACCTCTGTCGTCCCAGGCTTAGACGTTACCGCTAGACTAAAGGTACCGAAAAAGACGTGGACTTTGCACTTACAAAAATTCGAAATGAATCAAGGATTGTTAGACAAGTTCTCTAGATGTGATGTGAAAAAAAATCGGTGCTCCGATATGATAGTGCTTGCTAAAAAAAAATCACTGATTCAACTTCGATTTCAATATTTTTTTGTCAGACAAATGACAGCCATGTGATTCTAGCCCATAGACTCAGTTTTTATATCTCACCTAGACCACTTAATTTAAAAAAAATAATATACATGCTCAACACTTTGAATCCACATATAAAATCAAATATGATAGCGTAAGCTACAGGGTTGTTACAATTTTTTGTCAATCCAAACGTGCAGTTAATTAGAAACTTCACTAGTTAGTGATAAAATGGCAAAAACTCATTTGTATTCGTGGTGCCGCATCAAACGACAGAAATTTCGAAAAACACCCAACTTTTATTATAACGGGCATCGCTTGAGAGATGAATAACAACGACGAAATCAAACGATCCGACGTTCCGTCAAATGGCAAAAGACTATAACTAATTTTACTGATCATGTTGGCTGCTCATTTATGCAGTAGCGGCTCACATAGATTCAAAAAAAGTAGTGAGCTAAAATTTTTCATGCTGTGAAATATAAGGTACAGTTTCGATCTTATGCTTTCGAGAAAAAAGCATTCATCTGCAAATATCGGTAACAGTTTACTTGATTGGTTTCTCACAATGGTCTTGCTTCCTGGTAGAAACTATACATGAACGCTAAATATCAAATGCTATGATATGAACGTGGTCTTCGAAATTGTATCTCAGAGAAAGCGAGCTAGAAGTTAAGTGTAGTCATCCGATCAAAGCACTATTGGTCGTAACTTGGAAAACTGCCTCGAACCTGGTCTGAGCTTTTAACAGCTCAAACACAAACTCAGCTAAGAGTGGAAAATTTCATTCTTGACGTCGAATGAAACGACAAATTCAACCATTTTGATGTTCAGCTTGTCCAATAGAAGTAGTTAAAAACCAAGTGAACAATCTCACCCTAAATCAAATTAGGGTTCAGATTGTTCACTTGGTTAAAAGTAACTAGCAAAGGGATTTTTGAAATCCAATATCATCAACATGAAAAAACGTCTTCCACTACACAAGAACCAATATGATTTTTTTTCGAGGTGCGATCTTCCAAAAAACTCTTCCTATAATTGTTTCGCAACGACCGAGTTTTCGAGGGGCGATCTTCCAAAAAAACTCTTCCTATAACTGTTTCGCAAGAACCGAATTTTCGAGGTGCGATCTTCCAAAAAACTCTTCCAATAAATGGTTCGCAAAAACCGAGTTTTCCGAAGCAAGGGGTCATCGTAATTTCTTGGCAAGATCATCAAGCGATAAAACTTTTAAATGCTTTTAATTTAATAGGTTCATATTTCAGAATTCATATAATTGAAATTTTCTTAAGCGAGCTCGAAGGACGATGAACCATTGAATCATTTCAAAATTTTTGATAGCGCGAATCAGTTCGCAAGAAAATGGAGTTTTTAGAACCTGCTAATCAAGAGATGAAATATTTCAAGTTATTTCAAAGGACGAATCGAGTCAAGAATTTTTTTAGCAGACTCATCAAGCGATGATCCTTTTAAATGATTCGAATTTTTTGATCGCGTAATTCGTTTCGAAAAAAATGACAGTTTTTTAAGCAGTTTAGCAGAAAGTAAGTTATATCAGAGAAGATTGTTTCGCAAAAAATTAGGCGTTCTTAATCAAACTCATCGAGCGCCGGAATTCTCAAACAGCAAAAACTTGAAAAATCAAATTCTTTGACACCGCAAACTGTCTAAGCAAACTCATGAAGCAATTATTATCTAGAAGGTTTTAGTTATTTCAGAGTGAAATGAATCGCAAAAATCTAAAAGCCGCAACATTTGGAAAAATTTTTTGAGAGCGCAAGCCGATTGAATTTGTCAAGAAAAGCTCAGAAATGATAAGACTTTAAAATGTTAAGTTACTCAGAAAGAATCGCCTCGCAACAAATCGACCGATGAAAAATTTTGAAGCATTATTGTTTTCAGTAGCGCAAAAAACTTTTTTACGCACATCTTCAGAGAGATTTCACTTTTGAAGATTTGTGCTAGCGCAAATCGGTTTGCAAGCACGCTCAGGAAGGACTGGAATTACCAATGTTTCTTGTTACTGCAGAGGACAAATCGGTTCACGACAAATCAGAAAAAAAACTGAAAAACTGAGCTGGTTCGCAAAAAATGGTAGATTTTGTTATTTATGCAAGCAAATTCAGCGACGAAATGAGATAGTTATTCTATAGTTCATACCGGTTTTTTTTAATGAAGCTTTCTTGAGCAAGCTCATCCAGCAATGAAAATTTAAAAAATTATCTATTTTTTGATAGCGCAAATCGGTTCCCAAAAACTGAAGTTTTCTCAAGCAAGCTTATTAAAAAGTGAATATTTTTTAAAACAAGTCACAAGTTTTCGAAACGAGCATTTCAATTTCAGTTTCCTTTTGAAAAAATACTAGGCTCTCAAACTATGTTTTGGCTATTTTATCACAAAAAAAGAAGTTCCATGTTTTAAGCTGGATCATCTTATAAACAAACACAGAGGCGAACCTGCGCTTAGCAAACACTAGCGAGAACAGACAAAAACAGCTCTATAAACTAAAATAAGAAAAGAAACAAGCATCGAATTAGTAAAAAGGCGGCTACGTCTCGGATTCGATCTGCTACCTAGAAATTATGAGTCTCACGCACTAACCACTCAGCCACGGACGCTTAATAAATCACAAACACTAGCCAAAAACAAAGCAGAGAACAGATGCTATGAAACTTCCGATGCTACAGATCGTGATTATAGCAAAAGTGGTAGCAAATAAGTGCACTTTTTTAATTTTCACTTTTATTTGCGAGTTAGGCGTTTATTTGCGAGTTAGGATAGAAAAAAAATAAGGTACGTACAAAAACACTGCGCTCGCAAGCATAAAAAATTCACAAAGTCCCTCAGACAAAAAAAAACGCCAGGAGCTGTCTAAATTTGCAGTTGGATCGAGTTAGTATTGTCTGCAACACTGACCTACAAAATCTTGAAGACCATTCTAGATTCAGAAGTAGAGTCAATGAAAGCAAAGAAACAAGAAAATTACTGACTGGTTTTTAAAGAAAATCTTGAACTTCGACTTTCAAAAAAAAAACAAATACTCGGCCTTAGGGATTTGTAAATTTCGGAAACAATTTATGATTGACTTTTGTTTGATAAAAATAACCCAATTTGAGAAAACTGGATTAATAGGTAAAGTTTTTATCGCGCTGGGAAATCTGAAAATCAAATCCACTTTAAAATTGGAAGTCGATCATATTTTGCGTGATCTTCACAATATTGCTAGTCGAGATCGGATCACGATTTGCTGTTAACAAGGGAAACGATCTGAGCTTAAGAAATCAAAAGTCAAACCGCGAAAAAGTTCATTTGAGCCAGAACAAACTTTGAACAGACTTTTACTGAAAGGAAAAATTATCCCGACCTACATAAGAGTCTGAACTACGCTCATCAACTTTAATTAAGGAACTAGTGATTCGGGTAAAAGAGAAAAGACTCAAGAAGTTGGACTCATGATTCCAACTGACAACTCAGAAAACAGCTAGAACGATTCGATTCGTTGTCACAAAAAGAACATTGCAAGCTAGCCGACCGGAAAGGAAAAGATAGCCACTGAGACCACAGCAACAAACAGTTTCGGAGAAACCACTACTAAAAAAACTTCAAAATAATGCCTGAATGATGTTCTAATTGCGGATACACATTCACCGGCGTTTAATGAAAATAAATGAGCGAAAAAAGTGCGAAAATAAAATTTTTATCAGGAAAAATTTTGAACTATAAAGTCTATTATGAGATTTTTAACGTTGTGTGCAATCCGGACGGAAACATAAAAATTGTGGTTTCCTCGAACGACCCAAAAATATAAGCCGAAATCATTTCGGAAGAATTAATCATTGAAACGGAGAGTTTCCCGTTGGGAAAAAAACAGGTCCCTGGTCGGATTGGATTTAGACATCTTTGCCGTCCTAGGCGTTTCGTTGCCTCCAGACTAATTATGCCTGACAACCTTCGAAGCCATCAAGAGCCAAGGGATTCTGTTGAACAAATTGTTAACCCGAAAAAGTCTATATTCTGATTTAATAACGCCTGCTAATCACAAGCGTAATTAACAATAAAAAGCCTGCGGATGAAAAACCATGTTTATTTTTGAAACCCAGCAGAAATGGTTTTTTTTCTAAAGTTTGCTCTTGAAACCGTTCAAGTATTCCTCTCTCGCACAGTAACATATAATTACTACACGTATATTTTCTTTCCACTGCGTACCTGGTTTGAACATCATATCAGCCTGATCCGCTTCTGGCATCTCAGATGACTCATACACATCTGCATTGTACGTGTCGATGCCGGGCAGGTTCGAAAACTTAGTCAAATCCATTTCTCAATCTGAAGACATTTGAATGCTCCCCAAAACACGCAACAAAAAGTAAATGTTTAGAGACATGAATCAGGGGCGGATCTAGGATTTTCTCGAGTGGGGTCGGATTTTCAAAAAAAAATTTGAAAATTTTGTCGACCTTTTTTTTAAGTCGACCGAATTGATTTTCTGAGCTCTCCCAAAGCACTACAAAGACCCTGTTTTGGCCAAAATTTCTGCACCGCAGGCAAAATTTTGAAAAAATATGCCAAAAAAGGGCTGTTTTGAAAATTTTTACCAAAAAAAATTGCGTTTTTTCGGCGCGCGCTCCCCCCAAAGGCGCCTTTCGAAAACTTTAGGGTCCGTAACCAAAACTGGATATCTCAAAATAGTACAAAGGGGGACCCTTTGAGTCGGCAGGGGGTCGAATCCCTGAAAGGGGCGTCCGCCCCCCCCCCCCCCCCCTAAATCCGCCCCTGCACCTGAATCAAAGTTTCAGTGATCCAAATTCTTCCGTGGAAGCAATTAAAAAACTGAAGTCGATAAATATAGAATGAATTCAAACAACCAAATATACAAAGATTCTAAGAATAAATCCAATGTGATGATAGGCTCGTCAATTCACGAGACAGACTCATCCATTCTCGCACATCTCGTGAGCAGCTGTAATGATTTTGGAGATAAATTCAAAGAACATAAGCTTCCGAAATTAAGTGAAACACGCTAACGCTAAACACTAATCATTTAATCAAAAAGGACAACTGGTGTACTAATTGTCAGGTAGCAATATCTACTCATTATTTTCACATGGATGGCAAAAGAAAATAGTTAATTTTCCCAAAATAGCTATATCAATTCTGTCAATAGGCGAGAGATCTTTCAAACAACACTTTCAAATTCAACCAAAAGTATCTTCAAGAATCACGAAATTCAATCATACCTTGAGTAAAATTGAAATTTCTACTGTACTCAAATTCAAACACGTTTACATTCAAAGCTGGCATGCATAATTAAAACTTGCGAAGATCAATTTCAAAAACATTGGGTTTCAATTTTACTCGTAAACAATTAAACTTTCGTCAATTGTCAATCGTCATCTTATAAGGTTTCTACACAATTAAAAACAAGGAGCAAGATTAAATCATGAATGGGAGCCGGCGATAAAAATAGATCTCTATTTGGCTTACTTTGAGTGGTACGCAACATACAGTTATATAGTTTCTAGAAATGGTCGAAATCAATTCAGGTAATAAAATTAGTTTAAATTGAACAAATTAACAAAACTGGACATGAAAATTTATAATTGAATTGAAAAAATAAACTATGTCAACCAGCAACAGTTATTTACCAAATTAGCTGAGCAGATATTACGACATTGACACATTGATAAACCATACTGTACAGCGCTGAGAGAAGAGATTATAAATAGTCAGGGAAAGAGTTAGCCAAAAGTCATTAGTGCCAGTAGAAGTATAATTATAATTTACGACACTAAATGATGCAAACCAGTCAAAACAGAATCGACAGCAATATGGGAGCCCGATTTCCAGGAACGAGCAAAGCAGCTATAGAAATGTGAAGTTTGAAAAAAGTATGTCCGTTTGAACCACGTTCCAACAAGATGCAGAAATAAGATTTAAAGCAGCTTCAAGTTCTTCAACCCTCAATGTTTTTATTGAAATTCGCAATGTCCAAACGGAGATAGCAAACTATTCGAAACATAATCCTCATGCATTACTTAGAGTTTTTGAAGTTTTCATTCAATAAGCGGCCACTAAGCGCGCTTTGCGAATAAAGAAGTAATCTAAGACAATGCATCAAATCAGCCATCAGCGACATCACTATTTCTTCTGTCATTCTACTTCATGTCTTGACGTGGAGTGAACTGTCATGAGGTCATCGCAGAGGTCAAATTCGGTCGCTGACGACTGTACTGATACTGCTCTACTCGTGTACTGGAGTGGTGAAGTGTAGAATGTGCGTTGAGGTGGAATTGAGTTTGAGATTTATATCTGAATTATAATAGTCGGCAGTTAACAGTGATGCTCTTTTCCATTTGTTCTGGCCCATGTGTATTGTATTGCACTTGCTTGTTTCTGGAATCCAGTTTGTCACTTCAATAATTCTCATCTCGGCTGATTTTTGTCCGAGAAAAGCAAATGCTATGTGTTCCTCGTTCCCGCAATGACGGATACGACTAAAAATACATACTTTTAGATTCAGCCCTTTTAATCTATTCTTAACGATAATCAACAACAAGCAATAACGCTTTATTTCTGATCAATTGGGCAATAACTTGATTTATTTTTGATCAATTGGACAATAACTCAAACTTAGGACTACTATGTGCGAGTTCGGTTAGAAAAAATGGACTGATTTCATTGCTCTACGCTCGTATGTGTAACAACAAACATAGACAACATAAAGTTAGAAAAGCGTCAATAAAGGCAAGACAATAAAAAAAACTAAATTTTAAAAAAAAATTCAACAAGAGAATTTCCGAAAATTTGATCAATAAGTAAATTTTGTATTTCGCTGGGTAAACTGATAATTAAATTTTATTTTCGAAATAAGAATTCAATCACGTTTTTTGTGACCTTTACTCTTTTGCCTTTCGCCAGTGAATTTGCCTTCCTTTTAACAGGGGAAACGAACTTGACTGAAAATTAAAAAAATCAAAATTCAAACGTGAAAAATCACATTTTAGCATGAACAAAAATACCGACTTCCACAAAAAAAAACGAACCAAGACCTATAAAAAAATATTCACGAATGGAACGGCAATTTAAAGGTAAAAATGCTCAGCAAAAATCTGTTGGCAGGCATTCTGTTCTGTTGCTAGCAGCAACCTTTGGCTGTGGTTAACAGCCGAGCTAACTGATTCAACTGATTTTGTTAAACTAGTCTATATTCCAGTTTGTTGTCGCTGGCTAATCGCAAGCGTAACTAACGCTCGCAAACTCGCTAGTTTGAATAGTAATGGATTGTTTGAAAAATATAAATTTTTCATCAGCTGGTAATTTGAATTATATGGGAAGTTATATATTAAGCTCCATTTTCAAACATTTTCCAATTCTGCTTTTGTACAGCACAACTTCAATTGAGCTTCTCTAAGAAGATTTGAAAATTGAGCTTTGAAACATATCAAAAAGTAGGTATTTCGAAACAAAACTCACAACCAGTTGGAAGTGTCAATGAAGTCAGTAAAATTTCGAAAAAGAAATCATATAATCGCATTGAGGCTCTTCCACTTTCGCGTCAATTCCACTTTTTCAGTTGAAGAGCGTAACTTGCCTTCTGTTAAGCTAATGAATTTAAATCGAAATTTAGATAACTTGCCTTCGATAAAGCAAATGATTTCGATACAACAGATACATTGCGTTACAAGAAAGTGATTAGAAAAAGAGACGGATATTTTAAAAATATTAAGTTGAAAAATGTTCTTGAAAAAATAATTTGAAAAAATCGACTACCGAGCGGCAACTGAGGTTCCAAACTGATTGACCAGCTATTGAGCCGGAAAAAAAATGCTGTCGTAAAAAAAATTTGGAGCTTTAAACTTTTAGGAGTTTCTAGAGCATGTGCTACAGAATGCGGGAAAAAATGCGTCAACTTCAAAAAATGGTCTGAAACCATACCTTCAATGATTTCTACTGAAATAAGAGATTAGTTGCTTATGTAGGGGAAAGCCTACTTTCCATTCTTTAGAGGAGCTCACAATAATTTTGAGTGGGTAGTTTTCAAGAAAAGGAATATTTTTCAAAAAAGCGATAACTTTGGAAAAATGGACTTATTCAAAATCATACCTGCTTTTGTTTATAAAAATAAGGTGTAACCGTTTAGTCAGGAATAATCTCAACACAATATTCGTTAAATTGAATCATGCAAACGTCGATTCGGCGGGGCAATTTTTGAGAAAACGAAAATTCCAAAAAAAACTATCGAAATTTCTTTTCGACTTTTTTGTCATTAAAACTTTCTACGAAAAAATAAGGCGTAGCTGTCTCTGCAGGAAAGAATCCCAAACGGTTGGTTCAACTGAACGAACTGTTGTTTCGATTGGACTCATTATCTCGGAACTACTTTTATAGGGAAAATGTCCATAACCAGTCATTCGATTGAACTTTCAGATTTGGCAGTTTAGTTTTCTAGAACAGTGAAATTTGAAAACACAAAAACGGTATTAACTTCATAAAATGGATTTTTCTACGCACCAAAATTTCGTTAAAATTAGGGGCTGAAAATTTCTGCAAGAAACGTTTCAAACCTGTTCCATCGACTGAACACCCAATCTCAGATTCGACTGAGTAGTTTTTGCAAAAAAAAATCAAGAAATTTCCAAAAACGGTCCCAAAAATGAATAGATTTGACTTTTGCGATAGCTATAGCTTGTTTTCCACAAAAGGTCACAGCAGCTTTTGCAGCGAAGAAGCCCGAAATTTGTTATTTCACTTGAACAATTAAATGTTAAAATTGGCAGGGTTTTTGAGAACAGTCAAAAAGTGCTCGAAAAAACCCGAAAAGCCACATTTTCTTTATACTAAAAAAAATTATGTAGCCGATTACGCAGAGAGGATTCTCACAAACAGAACCCTTAACCTAAAAACTGCCAGGGTTTCTTTTCGAAAGAAGTCGAAAAGTTTTCAAAAATTGACTTTTCCCAACGACCAAATCAGCTAATTCAGACAGGGATCCTCCGGTCCCACATTTCGATAAAACAATTGATATCAAATCTGGCAGGGTAGTTTTCGAAAAAAAAAGTTTCCACATGCGAAGCTTCGCTTTGAAAACAGTTCGAAAACAGGACAAAAAGCAGCTCTATATAGCGCAGTAAGAAAAAAAATAGAAAAAAGCTCGAATTAGTAAAAACCCGGCTTCGTCTCGGATTCGATCTGCGACCTAGAGATTATGAACTTCACGCACTAGCCACTCAACCACGGACGCTTAGTAAATCAAAAATTCTAGCCACAAATAAAGCAGAGAACAAATGCTATACTATAATTTATACTATTCTGCTACAAAAATTGGTGCGTAGCCGTTTTTGGTGGGCGGATTCCCAAAATCTGTTTTTTCGATTGATTCTTTAAACCCAGATTTATGAGGGCAGTTTTTGAGCAAAGTCGAAAAGTTTCACAAAAACGGTCAAAATGTCAAAAAGTTGTCTTTTTTGAGTCCATAACTTACATAAATGAAAAATAACGGCGTAGCCGTTTGTGAAATCACGATCCCCGCATCCAGTTGTTTCTTAACCCCAGATATGAGATTTTAGTTGTTCAGAAAATTTGGAAAAGTTTCAAAAAAATGACCAAGCTATCAAAACTTGGCTTTTTTTTGAGACCACACTTTTTTTTCAAAACTTAGCGTAGCTGCGTACGCAGAACAGAACCTTGCTACCTGTTCATTCCAATGAGACTTCAATCTTAGATGGCGGTAGTTTTATTTGATATTTCAAAAATTATGGATGTCTTGAAATTACCAATTTCTAGAAATTTGACCCTTCTGTTAACAAAATTATTTACAGGAAAAAATCCAGTACCTTTTTGCAATACCCTTGCTTATCGCAAGGGTAATAAATCAGGAGCCAAACCTCTAAAACTCAAGGAAATTTCAACTTCTAGGAATTTTCCAGGAAAAACCAAACAACCTAAACAACTGTCGTCACTTCGTTCTTCGACACTTGAAAAACTTGAGGTAAAGACAAAATTCGTCTAAGAGTATATAAGAAAGTACAGATGAATGGATCAGCTGATCTGGTCCCTTTTAAAATGATCCCTTTTATCTGGTTCCCTTTAAAATTGAAATGAAAAAAAAAAACGAAAAACAAAATCAAAATTGAGAAAATGTGTTGATCAAGGCGGGGATGGAACCCGCGCCATCAGGCCAAATGTCTTATATTCTACATCTAGGCTAAAGTTACTTAGTAAATTGAATGATTGAAGATAATTAAAGCCAAAATAAAATTTTAAAATTTTTAGAATCACGCTATTTCACCATCCCACACTCTCGTTTCTCTCTCACCCCACCCACACTCTTCAGCCCACTTCTAGCACCCAGATACTTCCTTCCTTACTCGATATTCGGCTATCGAGCCCTTCAAACTCCAGTATGATAACCACCTAATTGTTCCGACCATTTGAAAATGGGGAGGAACTTTGTATCCTGGAGTTTTGGTTTTTTTTTCTTTTTTTTTCCAAGCAAAATCGACAACCACAAATAATCATCTGAGAAAACTCAGTGATATATGATATTAAATCCCCTTCAGAAAAGATTCGACGACATTAAAACTTTCAAGAAAGTTTTCCTAGTGTCGAGAAAAACCGGTTTGAAATACTTTTTTTGTCTGATTTCGAGCGAGTGAGCAGGCTTACATTAACTTATTTAAGCTAAATTTAAGCCTTGAAAATTAAGTTTAGCGCTATCTTAGGGATCAAAAACTTAAAAAATTTCTGAAAAAATTGAACTGTCGAATATGCCTAAACATTACTTAATTGGACGAAAATTGTTGCATTTTTTAAGACTATGGTCGGAACATTCTGTGCTACTTGCACAGTAACCGGCTATCCTTGTTAGTTTTGAAAATTATCTGGTCCAAATCCAATTATTAGGGTTCAGAGTCCCACGTGTTACCTCTACGCCATGAAAATTAAGGAAACACAAGCCCTTTCAAAAATATAAAATGAGAAGTCAAAACATTGAAAAAAATGAGCGTGAAAATCTGGTTAAAAAATAACAAGACCTCAATATGCAAAAATTCAATTCGTTTTTTAAAATTTCAAAATAAAACACAGAGGCCACGCTTCGCTTAGCAAAAAATAGTGAGAACACGACAAAAAGCAGCTCTATAAAGTGCAGTAAGAAAAATTAGAAATAAGCCTCGAATTAGTAAAACTCGGCTACGTCTGAGATTTGAATCTGCGACCTAGAGAATTAGAACCTCACTCACAAAACACAGACACTTAATAGGTACCAAAAACCAGAAACAAAAAAAAAACAGAACAGATGCTATGCAATTTCCAATCCTACAGTGAAATTTCCAAATTAGTGAACCTTTTTAATGAACACTTTTATTTGCGAGTTAGGGTCGAAAAAAAGAAAGTTCGTAAAAATACACTAAGCTAATCGCTGATCTAAATTACAGCAAATTTTCTTTGAAAACATTAAAACACAGTTCATAATTGCCAGAATAATCAACCAAAG